AACAAATTGATACAACAAAATGCTGTAATTATCGCGTAGAGAAACGAAGGCCAAACAGAAGCAAACAGCAGTCGAAGAAGAAGATGAAGACGACAAGAACCAGGAGGAGGAGTAAGCAGTGGCTAAGAACAAGAAGAAGAAGAATGAGCATGAGGATAAGGAGCAGTAAGAGGCGTAGCTGGAAGTGGAGTAGAAGCGGCAAGTTTCACATAGCTCCAAGCTATTTTCAGCAGCGTTCAGCAATTAAACACTCGACCAGCTGTGCCTGAGAAACTGTTGCTCAACATGAGAGAATTGTTGTGTTTTGTTCTGTTGTGTTGTGTTGTGTTGTGTTGTGTTGTGTTATTGTAGCTTTGTGTCTTCTCTTCTTCTTCTTCTTCTTTTGCTCATTTTTTGCAGTTCAACTGTGTTTGCCATTATGGCTTATAATTATAGGCGCTGTTGAATGCTTGCTGCTCAAAGTGGGCGTCAATCTGACTTGGATTTTTTAGTGTCTGCTTAAGTGTGTGTCTATCTGTGTGTATGTGTGTGTGTTGAATTGTTACCGCCCACTGGGCAGGCAGGCAGGCAGACAGGCAGGCAGCACTTGAAGTAGATTCTAAAAGATACGCGTCAGTTCAAAAATCATGAGCTACCACATTTTGGAGTAGGGAGAAGAAACCAACAAAAACTAAACCCCAAGTTCCACTGAATCAAAAACTTGAGGCAGAGCAACTCTTGAGTTTTCGTACTGATAAGAACATAAAAAGCAGAAAACACAAAACAACAAAATCAAAATGAAAATGACAAAAGGAAAAACATTAAACGGAACGAAACGGAACTGGTCTGGGTCTGAGTCTGGGTATGGGTCTGGGTCTGGGCCTAAAACTCTTGACAAAAGTCATGTTAATGCTCAACTAAAGCGCAAACAAATTCGTTGGAAAACCGCTGGCGCTGAAAGGTGTGTGAGTGTGTATGTGTGTGTGTGTGTGTGATTCTTTCTAAGCCACATTTGAGCAGCTCAAGTGCGTGCCACAAGCAGGCAACAACAACTACATGCAGCAAAGGCAACGCCTGATTAATTTTAACTGATAAGCGCGTCATTTGCCTTTGTTTGTCTCGTTGATTGTTGTGCGTTGCGCGCTGTGCGCTGTGCGTTTTGTGTGTATTTTGTGTGTAGGCTGTTGCGCAGGCGCAAACATTTACCAGGTCATACGCCCCAACAGGCACACACACACACACAGTTACATACACCTGGCACATTCTTTATCTTTATCGCATGTTTTCTTTAGTGTTTTTGTTTGTTTTTGTTGTTGTTTGGTTGTTGATGAAACGTCGCGACGCATCTCCAGTTGCCACGTTCAGGCAACAATTACAACCATAAAAGCGGCCATCAGCGAACCCATCAACCAACCAACCAACCAACCAGCCAGCCAGCCAGCCATCCAATCATCCATATATACAACCAATACCCTGGCCACGAACCAGGCCAAGTACCTTTTTGGCAGCCACAAAAATGATAAGCATCGAGCGCAAGTCTTAAGCGGCCAGCGGCTGCCTTTTGTCAACTTTGATTTGCTTCTTTTCTTCTCAAGTGTATATACCCTGTAGCCTGTAATTAAAACGATATTGATGTCACGCATTTTGACAGCCAATGCGCAATTTTTGAGTATATCCATTTAAGGTGCACAATCAAGCCAACGTAGCAAACATTACCAAAATTACATCGCCATTAAAAATTCGGTTAAGTTTTGACCCAGTTTTGAGCTAAGTTTTTGATTATGGAATCTGATTCAAAATTGTATTTGTGAATCTATATGTAGGTCGATTCCAAACTATGACAAAAAGTACATTTTTCGGCATGGAATAATCACATGAATTGTGTGTCTAAGTAAAAAAATGAAAAAAGACTTAGCTGAAATCAAAATTGTTTGTCGAAAAGGCAAATCTTACTGGTAATTGGGCTTGTACCTATTACAGGGTATCTGCCAGTCAGCAGCCCTTTCTCTTCCCCGTGGTTTTTGAGCCACGTTTTCTGTGTACTGCGAAATTCAGTGTAAATTTGTTGAGGCGGCACGTCCTAATCAAGTTGTAGAGCAGCAGCGGCAGCAGCAGCAGCTTGGCTAAACAGTTGCTGCAGATGCAAGGCACAGATTTGAATCCAAAGGAAGTTAGCAGCTAATGGCTTGCAGCTGCAGCAGCAGGAGGCACACACAAACACACAGATACATATAATTTAGTTGCCGTTGCCTCATAAACTGCAGCAGCAACCTTTAAGTTATGTGCCCGACTCGAGGCAGACGCGAGTTCATTTTGCAATTATAGACAAGAGACCAAAGACTCCACATCACCCTCCCACCCCCCGCCTTCTTGGCCATCTCACTGACCACCCTGTCCAGCCTGCCCCATCCTGTTAGCTGCACCTGCTGTGTGGCAGGCTGCCAGCCGATCTTTTTAGCTGCACCACATAAATTCAGAACCGAACTTGCAGGCGGCTTGGGTGTTGCAGCTTCAACTTCTCTGCAATGCTGCGCCGCCGCTGCAGCTGCTGCCACTGCTGCAGTAATTTATGGCTGTGTGGCAGCAACAACGGAATGACTGACGGACTGCTGGACTGATGGACTGACTGACGTTGCAAGTTATTTGCCTCGAGCCTGATAGTCTCTCTCGCTCTCTGCCAGTTTTGGGCTTTGTTGGCATTCTTCCTGGCGTCCAAAATTGGTTGACAACGACCAAAAGAGTGCCGGGAGGTAGGCGCTGTGCAAACGTACGATAAGCATCTTACAGATACTTTGGGCACGCATTGACGAGCGTGCATCGACAAGATACTTGGCTCGGCTTGGCGTTCCCTCCTTTTCGCTGCTTCGTATCTCGGCACAAGAATCTTGAGCTGCTTGCTTGGGCTCGTGTAATTTGCGCCTTGCTGGCTGCTCTGCATACAAAATGAACTGCAGTCGCCTACAAAAATACAATCCTCAGATACTTTGTATCTTTTCTTGGCAGTCTTAGCGTCGACAAATCCTTCAAAACGAACTCAGCCAAAAATTCAATTAATTTTATGATTTTGCATAAAAAATAACATTCGTCTTACTTATTTATTTATTTTTTTGTGTATCTAATGAATGCGTTGTGTCTGCAGCTAACCACAAATTAAATCAATTTCATTGGGTTAAAGTTGAGATACATTTGCTTAACTTTGATTTTTCGTGGGCGGCGCCGCATTGAAGAATAAAAAAATGTTGAGCTACCTTTTTTTGTGTTGCCACTGTTTTTTTTTGTATTATGTTGGGCCTGGTTGTGGTTGAAAATATGATGAATGGCCTGGAAAATCAAATGCGTGCCGCAAAAGTTAAGAGTCAAATCTGAAAACTGAACTCGAGTTCATTAAATGTTGGAAAATACAGTACATAAAATATGCAAAGGCGTGCCCAGGCAAACAGAGAGCGAGATTATCAGCGAGGGAGCTTAAGCAACTGACTTTTAATATATGATAATTAATTCATTATCGATGCTGTGACGTGAACAGCCAGACAGCCAGACAGAAAGACAGACAGACAGCAGACAGGCAGACTGACAGTCAGGCAGACAGCCAGACAGACTTGACTGAAGATGGGGCGTAGGACAAGGCTGACAAGGATTTCACTTGCAATTAAAACGAACAAGACACAAAAATTGCACAAACAGCCAACGACCAACGGCCAACTGACAAAGCCAATGGCTAACCAGGCAGGTTAAAAGCCGGGGCCACTACTGATGTATCCGTATCCCAGGTAGCCTTTCATTGATTAAAGCGCGCTCCCAGCTGTGCGCTCGACATGCACTAAAAACTGATTATCTGCATATAAGCGACTAAAAATCACCAAGTCCAAGCAACCAGAAACCAAAAAAACCAACGGCAGCAAAAAATAATTGCCCAGAACTGTTTAACATATCAGTAGTGCCACAAAACACAGAGCGAGAGAGAGAGAATAAGTAAGAGTGGTCCAAGTAGAGTGTGATCGACTAGCAGATACCTTGTAGGCAGCTGAAACATGATGATTGATTCCTAAATTCGTTGCCCCGTCTTCTTTACATAAGATTGATTTTTAAGTTATGTGCTTCTTCTGCAATAGATTAAAGGTTTGCAGACTATTAGTGAATAGAATTCAGATATGTTTAACAAACATCCTCTACATGCTGGATTCGAAATTGCAAAACTATTGCCTTGATAGTCTCAGAGTTCAGACCGGCATTTCAATTGTTCTTGCTGATCTACACCCTATATACTTTATGTAGTCGCTGATGCTGCTTTTAGCTATGGCAATATCAAAATACCCCTTTCAAGAATTTTTCAATGATTGTTGGGTATACGAAGAGGCAGACTTGAAGTCGAGTGAGTCTTTTATAAAAATTCACAACATGTCATTGGCAACGACGTCGTCGTCGTCGTCGTCGTGATATAGTCAGTGCCCCAGTAGTGCTGGGAGCACCCTCAACGTCGGAACTTTGCCGTGGCTGCTGTCTGTGGGCCTTCCTGTGTGACTTTGACTGCACAGGACATGGACGTGGACATGTCAATGTATGTCTGTCTGCCTGTCTGCCAGTCTGTTCGTCTGTCCGCTTGTCTGCCAGCCTATGGCGACTCTCTGATCCATATCGTTAAAAGTTAACGCTTTAGCGGCCTTAACATGGCTTTTAGCGTTAATTAACAACGAATTTTTCGAAATGCAAAATGCAACAACAGCTAACAACAAAAAAAAACAACAAACGAACAAGTACACAGAATGTTAAGTGACAAAGAGCTGATAAGCTGACAACAACAACAGCAGCAACTGCTGTAGGCAGCAAACAAGATAAGCCAAAAAGTTAAATAAATATAACGGAATAATTGAAGGAATTGCTTAATGGAGGCCCCCTCAACCGTTAGCAGTTAGCTTAACAGTGAGAATCGCTGAGAGAAGTGCTGTTAAGCTTAACAGTGCGCGTGTTAATGATGGTACTTTAGCAGTTGCATTAATTCATTTCTTTACACAATTGGTGTTGTTTTTAATATTTTATCTGGTTTTATTTAAGCAAACTAAAAATTAACAAAATTGTTTAAACATTCCTTAGGGCTAAGCTACAAATTAGAGTTACATTACATATATATACTCGGTATTTATATACACACACAGATTAGATATATACGACTGCAGTGACAGTTACAATATTACACACAAGTGCAGACACTGCCAAAGAGAAAACAACTTTGCACCGCACTTTGATGATAATCGTATCTGCGATCTCTGTAAGCTACACAGCAACTTAAACCTAGACTAGACGATTAATTTAACTGAGCCTTAGCTGCAATGGAAGATTAATTAAAGGAAGCACTTGGAAAGTGTTGAATTGTTCGGGAATTGCGAATCTTAAGCGATAATAGTTGTAAACTTAGATGAGTTTCTGTTTTGGAAGGCAAGTTCTTCATCAGTGTTTAAATCTCTAGGAAGCACAACATTTCGAGTTGAATTCTATATATATCTATATACAAAGAACCACACATTATTGGTTATATCGGTTAACTGTTATCGTTTATCGACACAGTATTTTGTATACTTAAATATTAAATCACAGTGGCGAGATTTGTTTTCTTATTATTTCTGTATCTTTTCATTATCGACGTTTGCCCTAAACGGTTCTGAACCGCATTCAACGACAAGCGTTCGCCTGCAACAGCCAACGGGACCTCGGAAGACCCTTCGATATATAGCGTGTGGGGCAGATGGACCCCAGTTTTTATCTGGGCGGGCAGAAGCTGAAGTAGGGAAAAAGTTGACAGTGCAGCGAGTAAAAACGCTTCGGATCCGTCTTCAGATCGAAGCCATCCACTTTGATCACATTCCACTGGTTCTTCATGTGCGCATAGCTAAAGGATACCTGATCCTGGAACGTATCCGAGCGTATGAACTCCATGGGCTCCAAATGTGAATGGAAGTTGTCCACAACAGTCAACGGTACCTTCAGCAGATGCTCTGCAAATGACGAAAAGACACAAAAGGGAAACAACAGTTAAAATTATGCCTTGGTCAGTCAACCTTGGTTATCCAGTGTGGAGGAGGCTCACTCACCTATGATGAAACCCATTGTGACATCATCCGGAAAACGAATCTTGTCGCCGATGCTGATAAACTTGCCGCCACCTGCTATGGGCAGCATTTTGAGTGTCAGGGCGCGACTGAGGCAGAACCCAGCGCCGCCAGTTGCAAACCAGAAGGTTATCTTCTTATTCGTAGTTGTATTTTTCTGCAAGAAGATGAAGAAGACGCATTCAGGTTAACGGAAGAACGGTGCACTGAGAGAAGTAAAGGTTCCTATATAAAATATTACTGAGCGTTAGCAGAAGTCTGTTCAAGTTTAATATGCCTAAGCCCAGAACAAACTCATTAACTTAAGCAAGATCATTTTAATGTTTATAATCTTAGACTTAATCGTCGAAACAACCTTTTGTTGACTGACTACTTTCAAGGAAAATCAAGAACTTAACATATACTTTGTCGAGCATTTTTTTCTGTGCATTTTTGATTGAGGTTAGCAAAGGATAAACCCGAAAAAAACTTAATTTTTTTGGCAATGGCCCAGCTGAAATTGCTTGAAAATTAAGAAACAACAAAGAAAAGAGAGAAAAGGAAGAAACACTTGATTAATTGACCATGTAAATGGACATGTGCGCTGAGGAAACTTAATACACACAATCGAAAAATGCCAAAGCCGAACCCCAGACCAAAAACTTGAAACTTGACAGCGTTTGCTGCTGCGGCTGCTCCTTCTCCTCCTGCTCGTGTCTTCTCGTGACCTAATGAAGCGTAAATTTTGGGGCTTTCAATTAGTTTGTGGCGCTGCGCAGCGCAGAGCTGGAATCCCGACTGACTTTAAGCCAGCTGATTCGCTACGGTTATTGGTTTCGAATTGTGTGGCATGCGGCCAGCCTACCAAACATTGCCACAAATCGCCATGCAACAGCATTCATTACGGGATCAGCTGGCGATATTTCAAATGCGCCCCAGCAAAACCAAAGCAAAGCAAAGCAAGGCAGCTTTGACTCCGTATTGAAATGGGAACAAGTCCGAGTGCAAGTCGAGAGCCAGCCAGATCATATCGGTTATTAATGATAGCCTGCGCTGGCAGCTGGAAGCCAAATGGCGGCATAGACAAATGGCCATAGTCAAGCGCATAAATAATGCACCCGTCCGCACAGCACAGGAGAAAGGCAGCCCGATATCGCTAGCCAGCCAGCCAGCTAGCACTGTTCAGTTGCTCCGTTGTTCAGTTGTTCAGTTTGCCAGAGCCATAACTAAAGCCACAGTCACAGCTATATTCAAAGAGTCATGTAATTACGGGCATTGGAAATATATATATTTGCTGCATATGCAAAAACAAGCAGCAACTGTGCGCCTGTCTGGCCGACCTGTCGAACATTGAATACCCTGGCAAGCAAATAGGTTGGAATAAGTTTTTGTGATCTTTAAAATTTAAAAACAAAATCAACCTGCAATTCAGAAATTCGGCATGCTTTTGGCGCCAAGCGTTCCTCACCTTATTATTCACAAGTAAATTTCTAAAATTATATGTTGTCCCTGCCTAAAAAGATTACTCAATTTCACGGTGGATTTTTATAAAATTTTGAAATAATATGTATAATTTTCAGGGCGTAGTTAAAAGCAGTATTCGTATATTAGCTTGCTTCATACTTGATATATTATTATTAAGCATTAGTATGCATTTGCATTTTAAGAATAATATTTATAAACAAATGGTAAAAACACCGAATGTTTGGAAAAATGTTTCCTTGAAATAACTTTCTATTACAGACTACATAAGAAACTTATAATACCCGATCAAAGTATATATTGATTTAGATTTGCACTTACGTTGTCCAAGTGAATCTCCAGCGGCGAGGATATGCTTGGCTTGCCGAGATACCAATCCACGCTGGGACTGTACTCGTCGAGCAGTTTCACCAATCGGGGCACATTGACATAGTTGTCATCGTCGAAGTGACAGAACCATCTGTAAGAGCAGAGAAAATAAAAACACAATTTAGATTACAACTAAAATTCGACCCGAACAAACTAACAACTATAGCTAAAAATTATAAACAGACAATAAATACAAAATGGAATTAACACTGGAGCAATTGGCACGCATTGCGCTGGGCGTTCCAGAGATGAATCAATTAAATGTGGCTGTGCTGCACAGTCTGTTGGATGCACTGATGAAGAAGCTCGCTTGTCAGCAGGATTTGGTAACAATTGAGGGTTTCGAGGGCAAGTGCTTGGAGCGTTTGCTGGAGCGCTCAAAGATTTCGCCGCTGCCCTTTGATGTGGCCACAATTGTGCCCATCTCAACGGAATTGCAGAAAGTCGACGGAATGGAGAAACGTTTGGCAAAACTTGAGAGCAAAATGGAGGCACATTTCCAGCAGATACGCGTCTGCAACAAGGTCAACTCGAAACAGTATCACAAACAGCTGTGGGAACAATATACGACACCCTGTGAGGATCTGTGCACCGTTTGCGATGAGGACAACAAGATTGCCTGCAGTCTGCTGCAGAATATGGATTTCATGAAGAAGCTGCTGCGACGCATTGCCTCGCCCATGATCGATATGGTCGAGCAGATCCAAAAGGAGCTCGACAAGTTCTATGTGACCCTCAAGGCCTTTCTCAGCAAGACTGAGGCACTGTTCGAGCGACTCGAACTGGTCAAACAGTGTGTGATTGAGATTGAGAAATTGCGTGAACTGGTCAATGAATACAATCTGACGTTCATTGGCACCATGGAGGAGTTGCAGGATATGCTGGACAGCAAGCTGGACAAGGTGCATATGCCGGCACTCAAGAAATATATACGCGATCGTTTCGATAACATCGATCTGCGACTACTGAAGATCGAGGACAAGGACACTTGTCCGCGTGCCGCTGGCTTCATCAGCACGGGCATCCGTTGCATATCCTGCGGCAATACTCATATCGGCGTCGATGTTGGTCCGCTGACTATTGGCCCGCTGCCCGATGCGACGGCCAGCAGCCAGAGTCCCGCTGCCTGTGTCAAAAACATGGCCTATCGCACCGTCGACAAGGAACCTACGCTGATGGTGCGCGTCCAGAATCTCGATCTCAATATGATTTCCAATCGCCTGAATCGTCCGAGCAGTGGAAAGATTTGCAAGCTGCCCGAAGCCAATGACACCATCTACGGTGTACGCAACTCTTACTCGAACTAGACACACACAGTGTCAAAAGTCACCTTTCCCAGTTGCTTCCCCTACCAGCAAAATCGTAATGTGCAGGCAAATAAAGCTTTGAGACTCAAGTCGAGGCCCGTCTTTCTTATTTATTTTTACATGCCGCATAAAAAATGCACTAATTTAGATGGTAATTATCCAGAGTGTGTGTGTCTGTGTGTTGACTGTGATCGCATTGGTCAACACAGTGGCAGCTGCAATTGCTGTTTGCTGGGGATTAGCCTCAGTGACAAACGATCAGCCATATCCGGTAGCCAACGGCGGCCTAATGATGCCATTAAAATGCTGCCGAGCCTATCGAACAGAACGGCTTGTTGGTCCCCCTTGCAATGTTGCACGTTGCACGTTGCTGTTACTAAATGAACTCACGCGGCCTCACAAAGAGATGAAGAGAAAGAGAGAGAGAGAGAGAGAGAGAGATACAATAACTTGGTCATCAAGTTTGCCAAGGTTTTCGGTAGCAATTATTCATTGGCTTCATAATTCAGTTCTTAACTGGTTCAGTTGTTGACTTAACAGATTAATTACTCAATTACTCTGGGCTTGGAACTTAATGATTCTGATTCAAGATATAGCATATCTGTGGGTAGGTATATCTGAGCTCTTTTAATCAGAAATCTTTATAGATATATCTGTCTCTAGATAGATATATGTCTATCCCTAGAAAGTATATTTGAGCACTTTTGCATCTTGTGTTTGACTGCTATAAAGGCTATAGATATATACATAAATATATATAATAAATCTAAATAATAGTTGAACCTGAGAATTAGTCACTATATTTTACAAAAATCCTTGGCTACTCTTATCCTCTTTGCTCTTTGCTGGGTATTAAATATCTTTCAATTGGATTCTCTTGTCGAAAACATCGGTCCAAATAATCCGTATAAGTATCTATTAAATCTGTTCACATATCTTAATGCCTCGCATGAGGAAGTGTATTGTAACAGCAGCTGACCCCGCTCCCTTCCCTTCCCCACACAACTCATAGAAAATAGCACTTTATTTGCTTGCTCGCTCGCACCCTCTTCCCCTCTCTTGTTGAGTCTATTGTGTATGGTGAGGAGTCCATAACTATTCAATAAAATCGAAGCGTTTGCTGGCGTCTCTTAGGTAATTTAATATAATTTTTATTGCCCAAGTTTGGGTGAGGGGGGATGAGGAGTGGAGGGTTAGAGTGTATCTCAGCTAATCGTAGCTGTGGCATTCATAAATTGTATGTTGTTGTTGTTTTTGTTGTTCTTGTTGCTGCTGATGTGGCTGCCACATGCGATACCTGTGCGAAACGGCAGCCAAGTTGCTGTTGCTGTTTGTCGTTGCCTCCTTTAGTTGCTTCATGTCGCATAAAAATGCGCTTTTAATTTCGCTTAATTATGCGTGCCGCAAACAGCCTTTTTCCCCTATTCCTCGCTCCCTCGCTCCTTCTCTGTCTCTTTCACTCACTCCACTCCACTCTAACTCTCCCCCTCTCTCTCTCTCTCTCTCTCTGCGGGGTTACCAAATTGATATCTAGCCGGCATTTTATGTGTTTTTTGCTGTCGTTTAATTAACGCGTTGTTTGCTGCCTTCTCCGTTTGACATTTTATGAAAATGAAAATGTTTTCATTTGCCCAGGCTGCAAAAGCAAATCAAGCAATCGATCGTTGAATATCTTTTTCTTTTTGGATCTCTTTTAGAGTGGAGAGGGGGAGAGCTGCTCGCTGCAGCTGGGCGACCAAGCTAGACAACAACTAAGCCAAACAACGTTGGTGGCTTCAAAAAATGCTTCGTTTGTTTGTTTGGTATTTCTTATTTTTTTTTGGGGTCTTGCTGTTTATCTGGCATCGCATTGCAGCAGCAGCAACAGCAGCAGCTGAAGGAGCTCCTTTTAGAGTGTGTGTGTGTGTGTGTTGTGTGTATTTGTGTGTGGCCATTGGCCGCGAAAATCGAGACGCGAAACGAGTGCAAAAACTTTGCTTATGCCTCAAACAGGAGGGGAAAGTTGAGTATATTGATTTTGTAATAAGTAAGGTTGGTCTTTTTGAAGCCACAGACTTTAAACTTGGTATATTCTACTATACTATATATGTATACTATTCTTTATTATATTATATATATATACTTGTACTTATATACTATATACTCGTAGATATCCGGGTCACACAAATAATAATAGCTCCACTTACGTGTTCTTTTTTAAATTCATTATGTTTTTATAGAAAATTCTGATATTTTTCTTTCTTTCTTTTAAACTTAGAATTATAATAAAGACACCACTGAGAAAATTTCTTGTGAAGTTGGCGCCTTTAATTATATAAAACATGAATAATTTTAATAATAAAAATAATATTTAAAGCTAAACTTATTTATGTCATGATGATGACCTACTTCAAAGATGAGGCATTGCGATTATCTAAATCAAGTTTTGTTTTTATTATTATTTTTAGTATTATTACCCGTTAAAAAAGCAATATGTGTTACATCTTTAAGTGCGAATCATTTATTTTAAGTATCTTTAGCTGCACAGCACAGAGTATTAGGATATCGTTTAAAAGAGACTGCAAATTTTGTAGTTGTTTGCTTTGAAGTTAGTTTATTTTGATGGCAGTTTTCCAATTACTCGAACTGGTGCTGATGCTGATGCTGCTGCTGCTGTTGTGGGCAGAATTCGAGAGCAACATAAGCATCAGCAGCTGTTGCTGTTGCTGTTGCCTGGGCGTTGTCGTTGTTCTTTTTGTTGTTGCTGTTGCTGTTGTTGGACTGCAGGCGAAATGAGTTTATGTCTGGAGCCATAATAAAAAATGATTGACGGGGCACTTCGCAACTTGGAGAGTCGCTGAGAGGGGAGTCGAGGGGGCGTGGAGAGGCAATGCAAGGGGCAGTCTTAATAGATTTCGCATTAAGCGCGAGTCGAAGTTGATCAGAGGGGTCCCCCAAACAGTGTGCGTTAAAAGTATTTTGACAGGCCAGCGAGCGGGCGAGAGATAAGCGATCGCAACAAAAAAAAGAGAGCTAAAAGCAAAAAAAAAAAACGAAGGATGACGAACTGATTTTGTTTCGATTCGTTTTGTTTGTGTTGTTGTTGTTGTTGTCTGGCTTTGCAATTAGCAATAAGTCAGCTGTCAGCCGGAATGTGGAATGTATCTTACAGATGCGGATTCTGTGCGGATTGATACAAATCAATGTTGTGTGCCGTGTCAGGGACTCAGAAAGAAAAAAACAAAAAAGAACAAGATATTTACATTAAGTTGGCACTCGAATCAACCACCAACAACCAACAGCAACTTGGCTCGCTTCATTAGCAACAACAACAAAAGCGGCAACAGGAGTTGCAGTCATGACTCAGAGATTTATGAGTGCCACAACGGCAACCCGCTGCGTGAGTAGTTTCTTCCAGCAGATACACAAAAGCATTTTCAATTCTCTGCTTTGACACGCTCACTGAACACAATTGAAACAACCGAAACAGCGGCGACAATTGAAACGCATTTGTCAGCAACGACGACTGGCGACGACAACGCCAACTACAAAAGCAATCATTAGTTGCAAGACAACAGCAACAGCAACAACAGCAACAACAGTAACAACAATAGCAACAACAACTACAACGTGCAACAAGTGCAAAATGTATCTTGCTGTTCTCGAATTGATGCCAATTGTCGTGTGGCGACGACGCCTAATTGAAATGTAGAGCAAGCGATTTGCCGAGCAGCTCAAATTCTCTGCTCACAGTTGTTGATATTATTGTTGTTGTTGTTGCTTTCCGCCGGATGTGCAACAGCAACTGTTGCTGCAGTGGCAACTTCATCTGCATAAGTGTCAGGCCAGGCTCCAATTGTGCATTTCCGCAATAGTGATAATTATGGAGTGGGAATGTGGCATGCAGCATTTCGAAACAACTGTTTAATACTCTGTTGTGGCAGTGCATCATCAGAGAGAAAGTGGTAAAGAGAGAGAGAGAGGGAGAGACTGACTTGAACTGTGAATGAGAATCTCATTGAAACTGCGCTCAAGCTTCAGCTGTATATAAATAAATATAGCTATAAAATCTTAAGACTTCTTCACAAACAAAATATACCCAATAAATTGTGACTTAAGATTGCGACAATGTCAAAATAATTCAAACCGCTTGTCCCAGCTGCCTCAGCTGCCCCTCAGCACTTATGCTGCCCTAGCCAGGCAACCCTTTTCATTGCATTCAATTGAATAATTGACGTTATGCACAGTTTTGTGGTGGTTGTTGGTTTGTTGATGCCACAAGTGGCAAATAAATGAAATTGATGCGCTCAGTTGCAGTTGCAGTTGCATTTGCCGCTGTAGTTGCCGTTGCATACTTTCCCCCATAGCAACAAAACACGCGGGCAACTGTTGCTGTCTCTTCACACGCGGGCGCCTCACTCAACAAAATTCAGTTGCCCCTGGCCGCAAAAAGAAAATTTTCTCACACAGCGACGACAACTGGAAAACATCTGGTTGTTCACATATGCGACAAAAAATGCTGATGAGGTTTTTCCAAAGCCGCAAAGAAAATGCTCAGCGAACAACAACAATTAAAACTGTCGCAGCTCACCGCTCGCAGCCTTAGATGGATTGTGGATTGTGGATTTGTGGTGCATAATGTGCATGTTGAGAAATGCCACAATGCCCCACTCTGCGTGCCACACCCCTCCTTGACTATTATTTTATATGTGTATTAGCTGTGGCCACAGCAGACGCAGGGGGAGCAGCCAACACTCATGTGGCACGCCTGGGAAATAATATTGATGCAACTCCAACCAAATACACACACGTCAGTTGCAAAAGAATGGGGCATGGGGCATACACCAAATTCCCACGCACTTTCACAGCAACAGCAACAACAGGAACAACAGCAACAACAGGAACAACAGCAACATTAACAACACACACCCCCTCAATAAAATTACCGCATCCAACAACATCATCAGCAGCAACGGCAACAATCAGTTGTTGTTTGCCTTTTGCGAATCCTGTTTTCGTTCACTTTCTTTGCTCCGATTATGCTTTTTTTGATGCCGTGAATATTACGCATATTACGTGTCGTAATTACAAAAAAAGGGGCAAGGTACCAAATAAAAAAGGTGCATAATAATATGAATGTTCCGTTACAGTGTCAATAAATGTTGATTGCGAGACGTGCGAGCAAAAAAGCTACAGATACACACATATATATCTCTATATACACATCTAGTTGGGCTGCGTCATATGACAAGGGCATGCTCGGCGCGACTTGGCAAATCAGATACAGATACAAATGCATACAAAGATACATACACAGATACAAATACAAATACGTATAGAGCAAAACACAAGATACACATTCGCACAATCTGAGTCAGGCACAAGTTCGCCAGTTGCCCCCGCGACAAATGTTATGTATTAGGTGTGGCAAACCACACACGGCACGACCTGGCTGAAATCAAAAACAAATCAGTAACACACCCAAGACACACACACACTCGCACACACACACTGCGCACAGCAAGAGATAAATTAGAACTTGAAACAAATAAATCGAAAAAAAATCAAAGTTATAGCAAGTAAATGTGTTCGTGGTCAAGTATGCTCAACTATTAGATGCCCTACTTTCTTGGGCAGAAATTACTGCTGTGCTTATTATTCAGTCATTCATGGAAGGTGTGATACAAAGTCTCTGAGATCGGTTGGATCAGAGAATGACTATATCAACTGCCTATATGGATCTACTAAATTGTCTGACTATATCGCCTATTAAGCTGTTTACCTCTTATAGTATCTGAGATCGATGCGATTATATATCGACTTACAACACCGACTCTTCTGTTGTTGCTGTTTGAGAATATTCCTAACTTCAACAATCTAGGTATTTTAATCTCTATTGACGAATTGTATTAGCTCACTTTATCGACTGACTATATCGTCTCTGCAAGCTCCCTAGCTCCCTTATAGTCTCTGAGTTCGCTGAGATCATATAGAGCCTACAATCTATATCGACTCTTCTCTTGCTGCTGATTGAGTTAATATATAGTTTATGTCTCCTTTCGCCTTTCTCACAAACATTTGCACCAGGGTATATACGAAAAGCAGCAACCACAAAACCAAAGAAAAAAACATTAAAAAAAACTAGAAAACCGTTTAAAGCGGGGAATTTGGGGCCGCTTAACACAATATAAAATCTAATTTATAATAAAAAGAAACGCAAATGTCGTAGGGGAAACACAGCCGTCACCTTATTGGCGCCTCCAATAATATATGTGTGTGTGTGTGCAACTGTATTGTGTGTGTGTGTGTTTTATATAAAAATTCCTTTAAGCGATTTCCCTAGATCTCATAATTTATGATTGCTGTGGCGACGTCATGCATTAGGCCAAGAAGTGGGCGGAGAGTAGAGTGGAGGGGCAGGGCTGATTGACGTGGCAGGTTGAGATCAGTCAAAGTCATAAAGTTGCCAGTGTGACTTGCAATTGTTGCTGCTGCTGCTACTGCTGCTGTTGCAATTGCTGCTGCTATTGTAATTGTTGTTGCGGTTGCTGTTGCTGTTGTAATTTTAATTAAATTGCGCTAATTGTTCGGCTTTTATAATAATGTGTGTAAGTGCAATTAGCCAGTCAGCGGCAAACAGAAGGCGTCGCCTGCACAGTGGAGCAAAATCATTCAACTCTTGGCCATGTAATTAAAATGAAAGAAAGGAAAAAGAGAAATAATAATAACAACAACAGCGACCCCAACTCGTTTGAACTGTTGCTGCTTGATTTGCATTTTATAGAGCGGACATCCCGCTGCTGTGAGTCAATTTCAGCAGCAGCAGCAGCAGCAACAACAACATGTTGCTGCCGTGCGTAGCAATGGGCAATAAAAGCGCAGCAGCAGCCGCCGTTCAGCGCGCCATAATTGCCAGTTTCAATGCACGTTAATTAACCTCTTTCCATATTTTTGCCAGGAATTGTTGTTGTTGTTGATGCTGTTGTTGTTTGGAGTTTGCACTTATTCCACAACATTTCGCAGCATGAGTAAAAATTTAAGCGTTACCAATCAGCCTGGCCACAGGAAACTGGCTGCGCCACCTGATACCATTTTCATATTGCCTGCAACAACAGGCAGCAGCAGCAACCAGCAACCACCAAAGTGCCACAACAACAACAACAACAACAGCAACAGCAGCAACTGCTGCCCCATCTTGATCATAACTGCACATTTAGCCTGCTTGCCATTTATTTCAGTTTTGTTTCATTTTTTTATGAACTAAAGTTAGCTGGCAACAATTTGTTGCTACTCGGACTTGTGTATGTTGTTGCCAGCAACTGGCTGCCACTGCGGCTTGCAATTGTTGTTGTTGCTGTTGTTGCTTTTGTTGTTATTTTATTGATTGCATGCTCAGTGCTTCCATAATGACAGTTTCAAGTTCTAAGCCAAAACGGAGCAGTCGACAGCCTTTTCACAGTGAGTGCAACAACAATAAACTCAGCAGCAGCAGCAGCAAGAGCAACTGTAACTGCAACAACAGCAGCATCCTCTTCGATGCTCTTCATATATAAAGTCACATCATGTCCGAGTTGTTCTAGATTTGCTGCTTGCAACACAACAATTTGTTGTTGTTGCTGTTGTTGTTGCTGTTGTTGTTGATGTTGTGGTTGTTGCTGCCAGTGTAATTACAAACAAGCTGAAGAATTTCTAGGCAGCTCCTTTGGGCGCTAGCTGCAAGTTGCAACTTACAGCAGTTCAAGTGTCTTTTTAACTCCAGTTTTTTTCCACACCCTGTAAATGTGCAGCATAAAGTTGTTTCAACTTATACATCAGGCAGCAGAAGACTGAGACTGCACTTATGAAGTTAATATATATTCTTGATCAGAGCCGGAACTTATCAACTTAATATTGCAGAGAGAGACAGAATTTATAAGGGCAATATATAATCATGAACCAATTCTTTAACTGATTTATAGACTTTAATTTAGATATTTATTTCTTTAATTTGTAACTGGATATCTGCTAGTCGTGCTCGTGCAGAACACTCTTACTTGTTTTTTCTTGCGGTTTTTTTTGCCGGACAAGTTTTGAGTGGCTGCTGCAACAGCAACAAGAACAACGAGAAGAACGAGAGCAAGAGGCGCAGTTGCTGCTGCTTCTCCAGTTGTTGTTGTTGTTGCTGATGTTGCTGATGTTGCTGTTGTTCCTGCTTCTGTTGTTGTGCGTCTTAATTGCGCAAATTAGAACGCATGGCAGCTGCAACCGAGGTCCAAACTGGGTGTTTGCATTGCTTTTATAGCTCAAGCGGATGGATGGATGGATAGATTGGTGGATAGCTGCTCTGCTCCTGCGGTTGCTTATTAAAAGCATTAAAGTCTACAATTACAACAGCAGCAACATCGAACAGCAGCAACAGCAGCCACATTGGAAGTCATTGCACTGGTCAATGGACGACCAACCAAGCTGCTCAAGGCAGCTAAGAATTTTGGCCATAAAAAGAGCGCAATATGACAAGATCTTGGCCAAAAGGGCAGAGTCCAAGAGTGTGTTCGGGGTTAATACCATAATGCTGCATGAAATTGAAATTGAAATTGCTGCGTAAGATATGTGCAGAAAACAAAAAGCTATAAAAAAATATTGATTATCAAAAGGAAGTGTAAGATAAAACAGAAAGGGGAGTTTAAAGATCTGGAAGGATTTGTCTATGTTTTAAATTACAATTTATACTCACGCAGAGTTTTACTTGAGCCTAGCTCAACCCCATTTTCTTAGTTTATTTATATAGTTTTACTTAATTTACTCACTTTTTGCCACTCTCCAAGAAGATATCGAGTTCCGCGGACATTTTACAGCAGAGCGCCTTCCGAAAATGGCCTTGTGAACATTTCGTGTTTATAAGATGGCCCTCTGCAAGAAAAAGAGAGAAGGAATAAGATGAATTTTGCTAAAGATTGGTAATTAAGCACAATAACAACGCACCAAACAAGCAAAAACCAATAAAGGGAATGGGGAAGGAGCTGGCAAAGAAGCCACATCTATGTTAATTAACTAAAAGGTCCAAAGCTCATATCGGAGAGCCCGAAAAAAAAGAAACAGTAGCTTGTTAGTCAAGAATGCCGCTCATATCCAGCGGATACGTTTTGTATCTCGTTTGACAGACGCCGCCGATAAAGCACACACACACACACACTCGGGGGAGATTGTGAGGGAGCGAGTGGAGCAGGGAGGGGCAAGTGTGGAAATAAAAAAAGCAAAGCAGCAGCAGAAAAAAAACTTGTGCGCCTTAATTGGATGAAAATTGTTGAAATATTTAAAGCACACACAACAAACACAAAGGGCACCAGAGCAGAGCAGAGCAGACAGACAGACAAAGTGCAAGCTATATCTCTACTATATATATATATATATAAATATATATATCCTTTGTTTACCAGGCCAACAACAGCTCTGTGCACATAACTCAAAAATCGCTGCGATGCGTGCTTAGCTGAAATCCTTATTGCTCCAGCTCCCTAATCAAAATGCCTTCAGGACCAGGCTGTGAAACTTGAGAACTTCTGGAGTCTGGAGACTGGGGTCTGTCGTCTGCTGCTCTTCTCTTCTCAGTAGTATGCAAAAATGAAATACAATTTTTTGAAATTTGAACTTTTTTTTAATTAAAAACTCTTGAAAATTTATGCAGCTGCAGACGGCGAGAGAAAGAGAGAGAGAGAGGGAGAGAGGGAGAGAGTAGGAAAGGGAGACACGCAAAAATCGAAGCACGCAAAAGAAAAAAAAGGCTGCAATTCAATTAAAATGCGGGTGAGCAAAGCAGGTAAACACACACACTACACACACACACACACTGCGCACTCTGCCAACAGAGCCTAAACTTTAATCGGTTTTGTTCTCGACTGGGCAGACAGTGGCCAAGATTAGGCGTTCTTCTGGGCGTATCCGCTGCGTGGCTGATGTGAAACCGAAATCAAAAACCCAAACCAAAACCAAGGCAAAAGGGTAAGAGGTCGACAGGTAGATTAACTCCCTCAATATGGCTCTCTGATAAATACGTTTTTTTCGAAATACAATTTCGTTTTTGGAACGAATTTGGCGAAATTGTTGTAAGTTATGATTTTAATTTCCTTTAAGCATACACAATATGCACAATACTCACTTGTCTTCTCCTGATAGTAGTGGTCGTCGGTGTCTGTGAAGAACCAGGTCTGCAAAGAGCATTAAAAAAACAAAAACGGAAAGTTTAAATATTGAAAACAAAGCCATTAATCGTTGTAACACAGAGTTGAAATAAATATATAGCTGTAGAAAGTAAGCGATTTGCATATATATGGTGTAAGTTGAGGCATGGGAAGATAGACCCACTACTACTGATCACCTTGGACAAGTTCGAAACGCTAATCTACATATAATTATGCCGGCCCATTCTTACAAGACAAGAAGACAATCAGATAAGAAAAGATTCCCACACGTCGCAAAGAAACTCGCCAAGAAACAACTCAAGCAAATAAGAAATAACGCGAACAAGTTAACAAAATCAGTCTACAGTTGGTTGGTTGGCTAAATTGTGGTAGTTGTTTGTGTAATTGTTATTGCTGCTGCTATTGCTGCTGCTGCTGCCGGTTAGGACTTTATGCATCGCTGATTCGCGCAGTAAACTTTATTTTTATATTATTTCCCAGTAGTGCTAAATAGTTGAATAGGGGCCGCAGACAGTGTGAATATTCCCCCCCATCGCCGACATCAGTCAGCAACTGTCATATCCAAAAACCTAATTGCCCAAAAAATAAAAATGATAGTCAACAAAAAGTTCCTGCGGCTATTTGAAAGTCTTCTTCTTCTTCGTCTGCATCAACGTCTTCCTCTTCTTCTTGTGCATCAGCGTCTTCTTCTTCTTCTTCTCCTTCGTGGTACAACTCAATTGGTTCTGCCTTTAATAACTATTTCTTTGCTGTGTCAAATCAGGCGAAAATCGTTTTAAAGGCATTGACAACTACAACAGCAACAACAAGAGGCACATTGTTGTTGTCCATGTTGCAACAACAGCAACAACAGCAACAACAACAACAACAATACGCCCGCTCCACAAGCATTTTAAACAGTTAGAAAGTCAACGTTTGCCAACGTTCAACATTCAGCGTCGGAGAGTTGCTGGAGTTGCAGTCTAGTCGAAGTCGAAGTTGACTCGGAGTCGGAGTCGAGTTCTTTATAGCACACACAACAGCAACATGTAGTAACAACAACAACAACAAAAACAGCAGCAACATACAACAACAACTGCTGCAGCCAAAAACTTTTCGTCGTCGTCTGTTGAATTTTCATGGATTTTTCACGAGATTTGATTTTTATTTTCTTTCACTGGCACATTTTTTTTTCTGTGCTTTTCATTTTTGGCTGCTGGGCAAAAAATGTTAACACCATGTTGTCGGTTGGATATTGTTGTTGTCAGTGTTGTTGTTGCTGCTGTTGTTGCTGCAGTTGTTGCTGCTGTTGCAGTTGCACAGTTGCACTCGCACTTGACTAGCATTTAATTTATGTGACTGCTAAAACTGTTGACAAACAACATTACAACATGTTGGCCAAATTTATGAGCTAACTTGTACGCTCTGATGCAACTGTCCCATAAATAAGCATTGCCCTAGCAAATAATTCCCGACTGCAGCCAGCGATCCTCTCCGCATTGGCCCAGTTAATTGCTAACGAGCTGCTTTGGTGGTTTGCTTTGGTTTGGTTTAGCTGCGTTTCCACCCACCAAAAGTTAATCAGTGAAATGCAGTTGTACATATTCCAGGTAGTAATTCTGTGGCCAATAGCAGCTGCAACAAAAACTGTTTACACTCATAAGAAAATTTAACTGAAAAGTGCCTTAAAGATGTGATCGACGTGGAGTTACTCCTTATTCCAGTTCAAACTGATTCTTGCTGCTTTTATGCTATTTAAATTTAACTCTATTTTCTGTTTGCTGCAGCCGAAAGAAATGCTCGACTTGGGGTTACTCTGTCTACTGTTACCATATCCAAAACTCATTCCTAGTGCTGCTCTTTTCCTGTTCAAATATAAATATATTTTCTATATATTGCTTGGATTCATTCATTCATAAAAATAATTAAATTCATGAGTGCTTAAACTCAAAGAAGTAATCGACTTGGGGTTGGAACTCAATTTTGCTGCTGTTCTTTGGCTTCATGGCACTGTTTAAATATAACTCAACTATTTTCCTGCCATTGCATTTCTTGGTAGAGCTTCACTCAAGCGTTTTAAAGCATTTACAGTTCAAAGAAATATTGAAATAATTCAAGTGCATATCGTGCATATCGCGAGAAAGAGTCTATAAATTTGCCAGCATATTTCGCTTGGGTCAGCATTAAATGCAAAACAAATTTATCATGAAAGCAGCAGCAGCAGCGTTAACGGATTTGAATACAGATTCGGAGTCGGAGCCGGTGTCGAATTCGGAGTTGGGAGTTGCAAGTTGAGGTGGAGGTTTTGTGGCGCGACATGCATTCAATTGGAACGAAGCGATTGCCACAACAATTCGTTATGTTTTCGGCGCCCAACACCCAACAAGGCCCAAAATACACACATACACACACACACACACAGCAAACGGTTAACTGAGTGTCGCCCCGCATAGACCAACAACAACAACAGCAACAATGTGCAAAAGCAACGTGCAACAAACATTTTTCAATGGCGTTCGCGTCTCTAACTGCTACAGCTGCAGGCAAAAGGCGGCTGCAAAATTGTGGCCAACCATTTTTGAGGCGAGCGTTGCAGCATTTTGGCTTCCCCCTCTCCCCACCCCGCAGCTCCGCTCCGATCCCCCTTTCGATACAATGGCAAGCACGTGGGGTGCGGTCAATCGCCAGCAGCAGCTTCTCAACCAGGCTGCCGCTGAGGCTGCGGTTTTTGCCTGGCCTTTACATATGGCCCAACTCGGCAGGCAGCAGGCATAAGGCAGCAACTTTTGCGGGTCTGCATTTACTTGTGCATTTTGGCCAAAACTCAAATTATTACCTATGACGGGGGCGTGCGGCTCACAACTGGACATGCTTTCTAATTTTGACCAGACTATAGACTTCATTCAAGTGAAAGTTAACCAAAAATCAAAATTACACCATAATCAAATCAAATCATATAAATTAGAAAATTGTATTATTTTCAACAAAAATTATATTAAGCAATTTCGATGTCTAATCAAACTAGAAATCGTGGCAAGCCACAAATAAAAACACCTTTCAAAATAATTTGCACAAATAGATATATATCTATATATCCATATATATAAAATATATATATATATATAAATATTAAATGTGCAGAGGAGAATTTAAGATTTGCGTACAATAATTCTTAAAGATAAATTAAGCCTTAAAGTATAAGTTGGCATAAAAAGCACTTTAGCTTCTAATTGATTTGGTATGCAGCCGATAAATTGATTAGTCAAAAACTGATTATGTAATTCGTGTTTAATATGTTTTTCTGAAACCGCAAGCAACACATTGTGGGCGTGGCTCAATTTGCGTAATCTCAGTTCGGCTATTTTGAAGACAGCAGGCAGGCCGAAGACGCAGAAAACCACAGAAAGGTTCACATTTTAATTATAGGTTGTCTGATGTATTGGTCTTGCCCCCCTCCTCCCTCTGCTCACCCCTCAACCCCAACAACCTCTCGTTATGTCTACAAAGAGCAGCTGTTGGCAAGTTGCGTGCCCCGAGGCGACGAAACTTTTGTGAGGCGTGTGTTAAACGCTGAGATATTTGCTGCTTAATGAGCCCCTCTGAACCTCAAAATGTATCAATTAGCTGATTTGTATTTGATTGGTCGAGCATAATTATAGATAAGCCACAGTTTGGAAAGAGAACCAAAAATAAAGTTCAAGATTTAATATCTTAATTCGAGATGTAATTCGACATTTTTTATTTGCAGCCGGAAGAGAAACAACACAAAATGGACAGAATATATGTACAGCATCCACATACTTAATGCAAGCCACTTATGCATCTTGTTGTTGTAATTGAGAGCAATATAATTGCCATATATACAAAGAGTGTGCTCTTGTGTGCGCTGCATATTTGCAGGCACTGTTGTTCGGCAAACGGAATATTAAATGACGAAAAAATGTCGAAACGTGAACATTAAAAAGGAAGTTGAATGCGGGCTGGCAAAGCGGTTGCAGGAGGATTAAAACGGGGAGAGAGGGGCACTTATATGTTGTATGTGTGTTGTATGTGTATGTTGTATACACAAATTGTGTCGTTTGCGCACAATGGAAAAAAATGTTCAATTTATTGCGAATTAAATTAAATTGAAGCGCATTGAAAAGGCCGCCAAAAAAAATGAAAAATGACAAAAACAAAATCGAAAAGAGGACGCAGAAAAAAGCTGCGGCACGGGTCGCAAACTATATACAGAAAACAGGGGAGAGCGAGAGAGAGAGCATGTGTGTGTGTGCGGGTGTGTGTGTGTGTGTACGTTGGCGGCACACTTTGGACGTGCTGTCAATTGGGCTTTAATTGCCATGCGGCTCGTAGCGCATACGCCGCGTGATCCACAAACAAATCAAGCAGCGACCCAATGAAAGAGTACCGGGTGGGAGTGGATGAGGGGGAAAGTGGGGTAAGCTCAGCTAGTTGGCCAGCTGCGTTGCGTATGACAACTGTCATTTGCTTGCTCATATTTATGAGAACATGCCGACAAGCTCAAAGCAGATAGTTGAAATAAAAATAAAATAAAACCAGACACACAAAGTCTGAATTCAACCGACTTCAGCTGGAGCTGGAACACTGGCTGGGAATCGAGCTGCAAAACGTGGCTGTCGACTTGCCACAAAGTGACGCAGTGAAGCAGCGCTACGTGCTGCTGACAGCCTAGCACAACTAACTAACCAAATACACTTAGCGAAAATAAAAGAAAATATATATATAAATGTTAAGAAATCCAAAACTATTTACTGATGATCAAGGCGGGTTTCTCATCAGAGCGTATGTACACTCAGAAAAGAAATTGCATTGAATTTTTGGAAAATTTGTATTTGAGTTTCTTTTGTCCAATTAAATTATATGAAATCTATAAACTATCCGAAAGGTTTGTATCTATGAAATCGTAAAATTCTACTGTTTATTGAGAATTGAACATAAAGCCTGGTTTTTGGAAATATACATTCTGAATACTAAGGTTTAAATTTTATGCGATTTTTTCTGAGTGTAGTTTGAAACACAATAAACAATAAACCTGTTAGGAAATGACTGTTTTGGTTAAGCAACACTTTTTTTTACTTCTCCAGTCTTTCTCTGAGTGTGGCTTGGCCAAGTTAATGAGAATGGTAGGCAAAGAATTAAGCAGCGCAACGCTTGCTGGACATGACGCATTACGACGGCAACGAGTTGGAGTTGGAGTACACGCAGCCAAATATGCCAAGACAGCGGGCTGGTACAGCAGGGGGGATGACAGGGGAGAACAGCAGCAGCGGCAGCAAAGCTTGTCCAGCGAAATTTAACGACAGTTGCGGTTGTCTTGTTGTGACCAATAAAATGTGAGCCGTCACACACACATTACACACACACACACACACAGCAGACCTTGTATGAACTGAGAGCAAATGTTGTTTTTCCGGGAAAAACATTTCAGCGGTTTCAATTTGGGCTCCACTGACACAGACGCTCAATATAAGTGGCCGCAGTGCGTCATTAAAAGTAAATACGCGAAACCAGCAGAAAGGCAGAAAGAAAAGCGGCAAGTCAGAGGAGCACCACCAAATCAATAGTTGAACCACCCACTTGCAACGCTGATCGGATGCTGTCAACCTGTGTCTACGATTTATCTGCATAAATCAAGGCAACAGTTCCCCTTCCTCCCCACTGCATTGTCTGATCCATCTTGCAACTCTTTTCCAGTTGACATTTGACATGCGTTTTCAGCTTGTTGCCAACAACAACAACAACAACAACAGCAACAAATGAGCAGCAGCCAAAGTTGCCAAAGCATGCAAAACTCTGGATGCTAACTAAGCGAACTGCCCGACAGAGTGACAAAGCTGCCAGGCAACAGCAGCCATAGACAGAGAGAGGGGGGGCAGGCACAGTAGACACAGTAGCTTGAAATGTTGCATGCTGCAGTCGCACAATTTCCATCGCTGCATATTTGGGGAAAAGCGTTCAATCAAAGTCGCCTCGTTGTTCGTGGCGGCAACTGTCAGGTAATTTATGCTCATTTGTATGTTGCATGAATAATTTGAATGCCACCTGAGCCATTTTTCACATCAAACCAACCAACTTCTTGCAAACAACTGCATTGCAAATTGTCTCTTTAACTTTTACATGCAAGATTTATGATTGAAGCAAATTCAATTTTGGCTTGAGCTGATGTAACTAATAAAACTGCTCAAAGACCTTTAAACTCCTTACAAAATTGTAAGCTATAGCTATCAGTTAGTACTTACAAAGTGCTCAAGACGATACTAAAGAAAATCTCAGCTATTATTTCAAGCTATTTCAAGCTGGTTCAAAGATATAAAAGTTATTTACTTTCATACCTTAGTTCCTAACGAACTTATTTACTTATTTATCAATAATGTAAACTCAACTAATATCAAAAAGTAAAAAATTAATGAATTTAAAAGTAAAACTAAATATTTAAACTCATATTGAAAAAAGTATATATATCTATAAGATTTCATGGGTTATTTTAAATGAAAAAAAGTCTAACATTTGTTGCCTGAATTAGGAAAAGCCAGAAAAAACCCAATCAGACTAGGGTATATAGCTATATAAATATAATAATCCTATAAAAAGCTAACCCAAGCAACATGGCCAAAAGTTGAACGGAGTTGCAGACTCGTTTCACACTTTGCCATTGGCCTTTTAAGGCGAACAGCGAGTGGCACATTAATCAAGCGTTGATAATGTGGTAACAGAGGCCGGGGCAGTGGCAGAGTCAGAAACTGAGGCAGGCAACAAATGGTTTTCAAATGCAGCACAAACCAATCAAAATTGAACGCATTTTGTTGGCAGTTGTAGTTGTTATTGCATGTTGCCTGACTCTGCTCCACATTGCTTTTGGACGCATCAAAATAATTGGCTGCCTGCAGCAGCAGCAGCCAGCTGGAAGCAAATCAAACTTTCATTGCAATTGTTGCATGTTGCATGCTGAATGTTGAATGTTGCTAGCTGTCAGTGCGGCAGCAATTGCTGTTGACCAGTTGAGACCAAAATGCTGCTGCTGCTGCTGCTGCTGCTGTTGTTGCACGTTGTGTGAAAAACTACAACACGAAATGGCACCAGAAATTTTCTAGGCTTGCCCCTATGCAACACCCGCCCCTCTCCCCCTTTCCCCATTTGTTGCTTTAGTCACACTCTCCAATCAAAATAAACTGAGTTGCAGCCTCGTTGCACGTCTGCCACAAAGCATTTGCAGCACTGCAGCCAGCCTGAAACGTGCCTGTCAAGCATTTCAACAATTTGGAATAGCTAAAAGCACACACACAACATACACACAACACACACACACACACACACACACACACATGTGTGTATTTGCTGCGACTTATTTATTTATGTTTTCTTTCTTATTTTTCATATTTTTTTTAGGTACGTCGAATGCAGTTCCATGTAAACAATAACACTAAGCACATTTGTGACGCGTGCTTTTGCATAAGTTGGCGACCGAGAATCTGTCGTAGATACTAAAGACGATAACAACAGAAAGATATACACGTGTATTAAAATACTATATATATGTAAAGTGTATATAAAGTGTACAACTTTTATCCTTTCACAGGAATCTTTAACTGCTAAGACATACAATCCCAAAATATTACCAAATAAACTCAAGTAAGCAATTCAAATACTCTACCTACAAATACCCTATAGTTATTGATCGATGCTTTCTGTAATAAAATATTATAAGCGATTTATAGGGTATTATTTTGGTCTATCGAAGTGATTTAATCTATCTCTTAAAGCCTCCAAGTTCGCTTAGTCACTCAAATACTAAACTACTATTTATTGTACTATTTTATTACTTTTATAACTTGGCCACAGCCGTCATCATTCCCCTCCACGAACACTCGCTGCTTAACAGGGTATGGCTACCCATTAAAATCATCATTATGAACGAGTTAAGCTCGTATTTTCGCAAGTTGTTTTCTTGGTTAGCATTTCTTGGCTTATGAAGACATTTTTATAGCCAATTAAGCGGCCGCCTCAGAAACATAAATCGCCAAATGAACCGCAAACAAAAACAAACACCACAAAAAACACGAATTCGAATTCAATTCAAACAGCTTAAAAACTCATTATGCAAATGCGCCAAGCCCCAAAAAAATAAAAAGGAAATAAAAAAAATAAACTTCGATCTCAATCGTGGCTGGGGCAACCTTTTGGCTTAGTTTCGTGTGTTTGCCACAGCAAATTGTTTGAACTAACTAATCGAAACAGTTCGATCGGCAAATTGCTCAACACCAGAAACTATTGTGGGGGTTAATTGGGGGCAGGGGAGGAGATAGTCGATAGACTCACCTGATCGCGGGCCAATTGAAACCAGGTCTTTATGATCAATGCCAAGCGGGTGTCGTGATAGTTCTTCGTCGTCTTTACACTGATGAAAATGTCATCCAATTCAGTTGTGGGTGGCTGAGGCGTCGCTGTCACCGCTCGCTGCGACAGATCGTGGAGCAGTTCCCCATTCCGACTGCGACGTGCCAACTCCGTCAGCAGGGTGGCTGTGGGTCGCTCACTCACCTCAATGTCGCTGAAGTTGAAGCTGTGAATGTCCTTGCGAATGATCAGCGAGGGAGTTATGGGCGAGGCAGCCGAGGAGGCAAACGAGGATGCTGTTTGTGTTGTAGGTGGCAGCGAGTGTTGCAGTTGTTGCTGTTGCTGTTGATGTTGCTGTTGTTGCTGCAGTTGCTGTGTGGTCGTTATTGCTGCAGGTTCATTGCCATCCAGCAACTGGCTGGAACTCGACAGCGGCTGTGGCTGCAACTGAAAGAGAGACAGAGAGAGAGAGAGAGAGAAAGAGAGGGAATGAGTTAGGTAGGGCATGTAAATTTGTTGTGTAAATCGCGTGCAGTGCAATAAGAAAGAATATATATATTTATATTTATATTTATATGTAGACATATTTATGAAGAACTGCGCCGACAGGCATTTTCACCTGGCAAACAAAAGGCGAACTTCAATCGGTAAACAACAATGCCAAACAAATGAGCGGCACGCAGGCAGCCAAGCAGCCAAGCAGGCAGACATAATAAACAACAACAACAACAAGTAGTAAGCAGGAATGCAACAGAGAAGAGTGTTCAACGGGTAGATACTCTGCAAACAACTATGAACTGCCCTCAATTTGTAGTTATATTTTGTATATGGTATTCGTTTTGAACATTCCGGATTCTCAATCGACAATATTATGAATAGCTGCCCCAATTTGGCGAGGAATAAAGTCTCCTTTCAATAAAAATGCAACCATTTAACTTCATCAGATAACATTAAGAGCATATATAAACATCTTGTATCTTGCAACCTATTAAACCAAATCTAGTTTTTAGCTACACATATTATATAGCCATCGAGTTGGAGGCCTTGTATAATACACTTAATTAAAGAAAATATATATAAATTAGAAAACAAGCTCAAAACAAGCTTTAGACACTGTTTATCTACTTTTCAGAGTTCTCAAATATGTAAACTGAATGCCTAAATAACTTTTATGTTTATTGGGCCATACTCGTAAAATTTCGATTTAGATGTAAGGCATAGAAATGATATTTAAATAAGTTCAACTAGCAAACAAAAGATTCAGAAATAGTAAAAGTTTTGGGGACAGTCGAGGTAGTCTAAAAGTGAAAGAAGCTTGTTCCTTAAGCGCTCAGCTGCAGCTACAACTTAAGTAGACTTAAGATTTGATTGTAGCTGTAAAGATTTGCACAACTGCACGCGGTATGCGTATGCGTATCATATTTTTACAGGGTATATCAACGTAGCAATCACAGCGCCATAAATGCTGAGTAAGAGCAAACAACAGAAACCAAAAAACAAACGGGAACTCTAGAAAAGATCAGCAAGAAAGCGCTGCCAGATTGGAACCCTCGAGCAAACAATAACTCCAACTCCAACTCCAACAGCCAAGTCCAAGTTGAGCTCGGAGCTGAGAGCGCTTTGATTAATTTCCACTGATAACAGGTTCATTTGCTTTTGTTTGTGCGGCAATTCTTCAATTGCTTTTGCTTTAATGGAAGTTTGCCCCCCTCTCCCTCTCCCTCTACCTCTGTCTCCGCCTATCTCTTCTTCTCTGATTTGAGTTTGATTGAAGTGAGCTGATAAAAATGAGGCCCTCTCTGTCTTCTCTCCTGGGGGGGAGGTCTGGAGACTGCCAAGTGTTAATTTGTTCGACCTTTTCCGCTATGCAAATCAGCAGTGCTCAGCAGGCACTTCCGTTAACATCCCCCTTCCCCCTTATTGGCCCAAAACCAGCCCACACATTTATTTTTTTGTGAAGACGTTTTTATAGCTCATTCGGAATTGAAATTGGAAACATTTCTGCTCCCCCTCACTCTGTCTCTCTCTCTCTCTTTTTGCTCTCCTCTCACATAGGCCTGTTGTATTTTTATTACATGGTAAACGGGTCTGCAGCTTCTTCTTCAGCTGCTGCTGCTGCTGCTTCACACGATATTGTCCGCTTGATAGAGCTAAAGACTTGGCTCATACATTTTTATTGCCGCACGATCGGACAAACGGTGTTCAATATAATGGGCCAAAAGCATCTGATAAACAGGGGGGTGTGGGGAGGAAAGGGAGAAACCGACAGAGCTGATGATGGTTGAGGCAGCTACTGCCTAATGAGCCGCAGTCAAAACCAGAGACGTTGACAGGTGGCAAGTGTAAACGGCTTGAGGCAACTTTGCAACGAGACGCTGCGATTAAGAGAACTCAACTCGAAATATTAATTAATTTATCCACAAAATGTGGGATTCCGATAAGCGGAAAACACACCACAAAAGTCGTGACCTGAGCAGTGAAAGCGACTCGCCAAAAACAAAAACAAAAACGAAAACAAAAAAGGTAAACTAAAAATGGAAAAGAAAAATGAGCTACTAAAGGATGCCCTGTAAATAGCTGAGAGGGTAGTTTGTAAAGGAGAACTCTTTTAGGAAACGTTGTATTCAAATGAATAAATAAAATAATAATTTATCTAGATACAGAGGAATAAACCCTTTGAACAGCTGGGAGACAGTCCTTTTTCCTTTTGTACAAATTGTATTTTTGGAGTTTGTGAAAAAATCATTTTAAAATTGATTTCGATTTACAAAAGAAATGCATTGCAGTCAAATCTGGAAACACTGAGCTATAAACAGAAGAACAATCAACTAGATGGGACAGCTAGATAATTGAAACAGTCATGTAGATCATGAGTGTATATATACTATATAAAATCGTTGGAACCTGTTAAGTTTTATGAGATCGTTAATATCAAGACTGTATTAAACCCCATTCTCCACATCATAAAGGGTATAAGCAAAAGCTGTTTAAGCGCAAATCCGGCTAAAAGCAATTGAGTTAACAAGTTGGTAAGGTGGGTTAAAGGCTGAAAGGCGTGCTTAGCCTTGCATAGATTAGAATGTGAACCAGTTGCACAAACAGTCAGCTAATATATGCAGCACTTGGGGGCAAGCAGAGGCTGACGCGGGTGGATAGGGGCTGCAACAAGCTCAATGGCGAATTACAAACGAACGTGAGCAAAACTGAGAAAGGGACACAGTGAGACAGTGAGATAGAGAGAGAGAGAGGGCAACACTTGGAGACACGTGTGCGCATACATATTGTACGTACTGTCTGAAGCACGCCTGCGCAAACAGACAAACACAAAAAGATACAAGCTAACGAGATACAATATAAAAGATACATGCCACAGCAAACAAAAGGTACACACACCGGAGTAGCGCAGGCGTTTTTTCGTTTTCCTATGTGTTGCTGTCGAAATGCTCAAAGACAACAACAACAAAGACACACAACTTGCCCCAAAAGCTAGCAATTGTGTAATGCTTCATTATGTACATGATTAATATGTTTATAAACAATTTCAAAGTCAATTAATAACAATAATTTGATGGGGGGCGCTAGATTAATGAGCAGCGCTGCGTGCGCTCACCTTCACTCGAGATTCGAGATTCTAAAATGATTTCTCAATATATAAAAAAAATATTATATATATATATAAATTTAAAAGCTGTTCGCACAAGAGTAATTCAATTCAAAAGTCAACTCAGAGCGCTCGCTTGCTCGCTTAAGTCTTCATTAAAGTGCTGTTTGAACAATATTAAACTTCAAGATACAAATCTACGATAAGATACAACAACATCTCATATGAGACGAAGATGGAGCTGGTGATGGAGAAGGAGAGGATTGAGAGGGAGATTGAGCTGCAGACTCAGAGTCGGTAGTCGAGTGCAGCCAGGAACGGGAGCCAGGCTCTGGCGCTGCTCAATTAAGTAAAATGCCGACCACCTAAAGACCAGCAGCAGCAGAAGCAGCAGAAACAACAACAGCTGAGCAGCTACTCAGCTGCAGATACAAAGATACAAAAGATACACTCGGAAAAAAAAGTAGATTTACATCGTCTTTTGCCAGATATCAATAGATAATATATGGTTTCAATACTCCTTAGCTATAAAACAAAACAAAAATGTAATTCTCAGACTAAAAATGGTATACTTAAAGCAGGTTGTCAAACTGAATCATATTTCGGTTTGGTTCTGGAATGCAAAGTGTAAGAATTCCTGTAAAGGTTATGAATTGGTTCTGAAAATTGTTGGGTAGTTGGTTTCGAAGTTAGTTTAAAGTACTAGATGGACCAATAATATCAGGTCCTGTAACTGGCTCCATTCGAGTTACGGTTCTCAACTCAATTTACGAAAGTTGATAACTTTTTAAAAATGTGCAAAAGAAGATTCTGTTGAGCAAATAAGTTTAAATAAGATTAAAGGCAAAGCATCTACAGTTAAGAAATCTAGTAACTTTCGAAAAGATTTCTAAATAACAAAAGTTTTTACTGCTTAGCTCGACAAGTTTTTGAGTGTATCCAGAAATACGAAGAGATACTCAGATACATTTCAGCTGGAAGTTTTTATCAGGCGCTTAGTGTCGTCAACTTTTTGGTGGCTGCAACAAAGCAAACTGACCAACTGATTATGTGGCAAAAGAAGGTGGCTGCACCAAGGAGTGGCGGGGAGCAGGGGGCGTAGCAGCTGCAGCCAGCGGCACCTGAGTGCACAAGCAAAAAAAAAAGAAAACAAAACAAAAACAGGAATCAAAAAAGTTTTGAGCTGTCTTTTTGTGTTATTTTTTTTTTTGCTTTGTTTTGCTGAGGTCTTTGCTGTTGGCTTTGTCTTTTGGCCAAGTTGTTTAAGCATGCAAAGCAGTCAAGAGTTGCTTGTTACGTGTTGCAATTGTTGTTGCTGTTGTTGCTGTTGTATTTAGGCATGCTTTAAGCGCACTACACGAATCAATCACAACAATCACAACAATCAACAGCAACTCAAGCGAGTCAAACAATTCAAAGTACGTCGCACATTCGACGCGCCACTTTAAACAAATTCGCATAAACAAATTCATTTATCGATTATGTATTATATTTTCATATATGATTTATGCGTCAGCAACACGCGACATTGAGCAACCAAGCTCAAGGTGGTGGGCGCTGGGGAGGGAAGTGGCGAGGGGTCTATGCACAGTGGACAATGTGTTGCTTTTATTTTTTATATGCAAAACACTTTTCTGGTTAGTCAGCTGCACAATTCTCGGAAATCAAGCAGCATATTTATTTTTATTTTTTGCGCAACATTTGCCAAAACCTAAAAATAATCATAATCAAAAGAGAAATAAAAAGAATTTCAACATTGCCTTGCACTTTTCTTGTGGTCAGAGACCTCAGCAGCAACAATGAGCAGCGGACTTCAATTGAAATTCAGCTTGAACAACAAGTTCCAATTCAGCATTTTTATATGAGAACTCTACGTATATTCTACTTGCCACACATTGCGGCCCTCTTTCCGGTTAGCCAACAACATAAACTTTTAATTATTGTACAAGCGCATTAAAACATATATAAAAAAAAAACTCCACAGTTTGCTGACCCAAAACAGTCGGCAAGTAAAACAGACCTCAACTTGGTCATCACTTTTTTTAATGGACTTGCAACAGTTTCTAGATAGACTCAACGAAGAGCGAAATCAATTTGCATTTGCAGCCAACTATTTCTAATGAAGTCAGCAACAAGTCGGCAACTTCCGGTGCGCAAAAAAAAAAAAAATGGCAGCTGTCTAGCAAAGTGAGGCATCCAAAAAGTATTGCAAACCCAACAAAAACAAAAAAAAATAAAAATAATAATGATGCAAAGGTTCTAAGACGTGCCAAAGCTGAAATGAGCAGGCTAAATTTTATAGCAAAAAAATCAAGAGTTGTTAAGTTTTCAAGACTGGAAATGTTTCAATAAATATGCAAATGGGCTTAGATACAATGTGTGTAATCTACAACAATATATTACATTTTTTATATAGAGATACAGTTAAGCATTAAGAAACCAATAAAGAATGTGTAATGCTTAATTCAAATGATTTTATTTTTACTTAGTTAAGCTTTCAGACTCTGCGTGCTTTTCTGCTAGCTGTTGTTATATATATTATATATATGAATAGTGGTGTAGCAAAAAGTTGTTTTTGTAACTCAAGCGATCTGCATAATCTTTAATTATTTCTGATTAACAATTACATAGAAACAATCTCTCTCTAGATAATAGATAATAGACAACTCAAGAGATTTTTCCTTACTTGCGGGGTAAATTTGTCTAAAATGTATTCTTATTTATTTTATTTTATTTATCAGGATGCATTTTTTTCATGTGTTTACAAGGAACTCTAAAATTGGCGATTTTCGTTTTAGTGCAATTTCTTTTTTATAGGAAAATGAGCAATAAACTTTAGTCTTCCCTCAAGCATAAGAACTATTAATATGTATAAAGCTAATGTCCAGATTCCAGAACAACTTGCAGTCCAACGTTTTGAGCTGAAGGAAGGGAACAGAAAGGAAAACAGCTGGGCGGTCAGCCCAAACAGCCAAAGAGCGAAACTTGTCTTGTAATATTAGCGCAGAATATTTTATTACACAGAAATTTATGCAAAAACCAAAAACAACAACAATAAACTGAGTCAGGAGCAGACGCGTGGAAGGACAGAGAATGTATGGAAAGGGGAGGGTTGAGGAATGGAAACAGGGACTGCGACTGCGACTGCGAGTGGAGCACACTGAAAGCTTTGGCGACGCGCTGCCGACGGCAATGAAACGCAACAACAACAACAACAAGAGCAACAAAAAAAATTGCTAAAAACTGAAAAACTGTTTTATATGCAAAAGGCAAAAAGGCAAACTTGAAGATTGGCTGGCAACATTGGCAAGGGCGCAAAAGCAAAAAGAAAAAAAAACAAGGTTTCAGCTGGCAACGCAGTCAAGCCAAGAAGAAGAAGAAGAAGAACCCGGACGGACGGACGCATGCGCAGCTGCAAACGTTGCCGGCGTTGATTTATGAAAGTGCACGGAACGTAGCAGCAACAAACGACTAAGAATCATGCAAATTGACAGAGCGAGAGAGCGAAAGAGAGCGAGAGAGAGGCAAGGAGAGAAGGAGAGTTGACAGTTTGCAAGCACCCACGCATAAGAAATATGCGTTGACTGAAGGTGGGATGGATAACTGTAAGGGATAGTGGGGAGTGTAACTCACTTGGAAGTTCGGATATCCGTAGGCGCTCTGATAGAGCAGGAGCGTCATGTAGACGACGGCAACGGCGAGTGTCATCGCTTGCAGGAGGCGTTTGTAACGTTGCGGCAGCGAGAGCACACTGAGGCTCATCATATGTGGCAGGACCTCCTCTACGCGACCATCAGTCAATTTAATAACCGATCGCACCTGTTTACTTTTTTGTATATATTAATGTAGAACTATTCTTCACTTGAGTTTGCGTATTTTGTTGGGTTGTTTTCACTATATTTCATTTCACTTGTATTTCATTATTTGGGTTTTCAATTACGTTTAATCAGCGTATTTTTCGTGTTTCGTGATTTATTTCTCTGTGTATATTGCAAGCAGCGAACGCGCGCGTACGTCTTGCTTGGGGCGTGATTGCTGGGCAACTGACGAGCTCAACTCACAACTCACAGCTAGCTGGTCGCCGTTCGCCGTTCGTTCCAGCCGAAAAGCGTAAACAAAACAAAACCTGAAATCGAACGGAAGAGCGAGCGAGAGCGAGCGAGCGAACGTGTGCTCTAATTGGAAATGCTTGGCTTACGTGCTGGTCGCGCAACAGAGATAGAGCAAAAGATCAAACTGCAGTTTTCCAATCGGAGCAGAAGAGAGCGCGCTCTCTGCTCTCTTTGGAGCTCCGCTCGTTGACTGGTTAGTTCCGCCTCGGCATGTGCCACAGTAGCAGCCGAAGGCGATGCGATCGTCAACGCAAGCAACTCGTGGGCGTTAGCAGCACTCTTTCTCTCTCGCTCTCCCTCTCTCTTATCCTGCTTGGCACGTCCTTGCACGCGACCTGTGCGATGCATAAATAACGTTGAGTGCATATCTATTTTTGCAGCCACTCTCCCTCTCTCTCTCTCTTGTTGAGCGTCAGCCGACGACAATTCCATTAAAAGTTGTTCGTTGTCACTTTGCGTTAAGGTATCTGTGGAGCATGTTGTGCGATCGCATTTTTATTGTCGCCATTGTTTCTTCAGCCTGCTCTGCCCACACACACACACACACATGCACACATTGAGAACGTTGCGTTTTTGTCGCTTGCATTTTCGTTTTTCTTCTTCACTTGACAATGCTTTGCATGCCATCATCAGCAAACACCCCCCTCTCTTCTCTCTTATCCACACCACTTCGTTGCTCTCCTTTGCTCTTTGTGGCCTGTCATATTCCATGTTTGTGGCGGCGACAAAAGCTCTTGGCAATGTTAACGTGAACGTTGGGTCTGCGCTGACTGCGCTGCTCGCGCAATCAGCAACTCGGCATCTTGTTCGCTGTCCCTTTGTGCGCCTTTCGCCTGAATTGCTGGCTGCATTTAAAAAGAGGCCCGAACCGGGTACCGGGTACCAAGTACCAGCAAACCGTCAATCCCGGCTACCCGTTTACCCGCCTCTGCCCGCTCTGCTCGACATCCAGGGCGGCCAACACACAAAAAAGACATCGTGTGGCCCCCTCCCCTCCCTCCTACTCCCTTGCCCCACTTGTGTGTTGCAAGAGTGCCTGTCTAAGCAGCCTCGTTGCTCTGCATGCTTCATTTTTAATGTGCAATTTTTGTATGTGCACAAGAGCAACTGTATCTGTATACACTGTAAATAATTTTGCAGTTTTAAATATTCTTAATGTTGATTTTTAATATATTTTGACTAAGAATTGGAATTCTTTTGAATATATATGATGGACAAAGAAGCCAAAGAAATATTGCAGAACTTTGTAGAAATGGTCCACATTCTTTTTTCATAAAATTTAATCTTTTAATTTTAATTACGTTTAAAAAAGTTTTCGTTATTTTCTTTCTCACTTTTTTTAAAAGTCTTCTTAAGCAAATAATTTTTGTCTTTTGCTGTGTATATATCTCTACCTGTCTCGCTCTCTCCTATGTTTGCTTTGCTGCTGTGGTAAGGCATGTGCCACTGCCACAAGTCCATTCTGGACTCGGCCTCTGTGTCCTCTGCTGGTTTATCGCTCTGGTCTCTGGTCTAACCTTGTTAGGATTGTAAAATGTAAACCGAAGGCGTTGGTTTCTGCTAGTTGTTGCTAGTTGCTGGTTGCTGGTTGCGCTTGCTTCACTCTGGACTCTGTAGATATTCAGCTGTATAGCTTTGGGGCATAGTCGAGTCGAGTTGAGTCGAGTGCACCTCGCTCGACTGGCACACGCTCAAATTCAACCTCAAACTGAAGCTAAAGCTGATGGTGATGCTGAAGTTGAACTTGCTGCTGCCTCTTTAATCGAAATAAAAAACGATCTCGCACTCGCCCTGCGGTTAGTCAAAAGGCATAAGGAGGCTATAAGGAGTGGGTGAAGGGTAAGGGCTTAAAAGGGGGCGAGAGGCTGCCACATAGTCCAACAAATGCGCGCGTGCGCCAAAAAGGCGCTCAACGTGTTCATTTTCAGTGCATATTTCGAGCCGCATAAAAATGATGCCCAGTAGTCATGCAAAGAGAATGGGCAGAGTATGGTGGAGGGGAGGAGGGGGGCGTGGTTGATGTTGAGTTTGAACTTGAAATTAGTGCAAGGCATTTTGACTAACGTGAACTTCAAGTGGAGAATGGCCAACTGAGTGACTAGATGACTGACGGACTGACTGACTAGGCTTGATTGTGCCGCTTGTCTACAACTACACTTAAAGAAAAAATCGCAGTGCGTAATTAAAATAAAAAACAGATATAAAACACTGATATAAAAGCCCAGCGAGTAAATCTCATTAATTGTTTCTGAATTTTGGAAAGGATACTTTCCAAGGATCTAGTTTTCAGGGCGATTTTCTAAAATTCAGGACAATTTCTTATCTGCGTGTGTGCAACCACAATCGAGACAGAGATGCAGGAAGACAGAGATAGGTAGAGAGAGACACCCTAGGGTGTCCAGCCTATGAGAGGCCACAAACAGAACTCAACACAACACATTCATCACAGTGTTCTCTCGCTAGCCGTGAAACGTGCGCATTCAGACACAATTCGCATCCACATTTGTTTTCCATTGCTCGTTTGTGATGCGTATTGATGAGGCAACTGACACTAAGCAGCCACGAGATTAATGACACCAAATTAGTCAGTGTCACTTAGTGGAGAGCACGCTGTGACTAGTCAGCTGGTAAAGAGTGGGGATTCCGAGAGTACCAGAGGGTTACCAAAGTCGCCCACTGGCCCATTAGCCGCGCTCTTAAAGTCAAAATAAACGTAAATTACAATGCGGAGTTTTTGTTTTTTCCTATTTTTGCTTTGAGCCCAATTGGTTAGTACAATAAGCGCTCTGAAAGGAGCTTGCGAAGAGACCCAATCAAAATTAATTTCAACATTGTGTTTTCTCGATAACATCGATCAATAACTGTCAACACAGCGCGAGCTGAAGCGAACACGCAATCGGGCATATCGATTCGAGTAAGCGATTTGCCCCGATTAATGCGGAGAGCGGGTTTTCCCTTTACTTAAACACATTTATCGATATATATAGCGGAAGTTTCAGACTTACCAACTGGAAAGGCTATTTGGAAAGAAATTTAAAATGTTTATTTATTATGAATCCTTCATCAAGAAGTGCATTTGCTATTCGGTCTGAAAGTAAACTTTGATTTTATACGCTCTTCTTTTCTTTTTTTTTTGGGGTGCTGCTCCCAAAAAAGTAATACGAAATTTGTTTCACATTTTTACAGATTTTCGATTTTCGATTCGAGATTTGAGATTTGTGAGGGCGCAAGAGCGAGAAGAGTGAGAAGAGAGGAGAAGATGGAGAAGAGGAGACCACCTGGCGTCTGCAGACGCTAATTGCATTGAAGGCAACAGCAGACACAAAGAAATGTTTTGCCAGGTGATGATATCAGCATGATCAAGCACTTAAATAAGTACAAATAATGGACGTACCCTTATAGCCCCCATTCCCCCTTTCCCCCTCATTTTACCCCCCTCCGTCAGCTTGTTGGCTTGAAAAAGTTTACAATTTGTTGATTCAACGCGGCATGAAATCGGTTTTCAACTTTGTTGAACTTTAATTAACCGATTTTTTCTATTTAATGTTTTTTTTTGGTTTTTTAGTTGCCCTTCTCCGTTTCTAATGCCCTACGCTGTGAAATCGCAGTAAGCCTTCGTCTAACTTAAATTGTATTTAAGCCGATTAAATTTAAGTTTGGCAAGCGATTCGATTTGTCTAGTTTTTAGTTGCTCTCCCAGCGCCAGTTTTTCAAGTTACAAGCGGCTCTTAAAAGGTCATTAAAACGGACCAAGCTAATAAGTTGACCAAACAGACTCTAAAATTCAACTTCAGACTACGCAAAGTTCTGTTTCTGTTTCGGTTTCGGCTTCGGTTGCTTTTCCCAAAACCTAATTTTTCAATTTACCAAAGCAATTAACAACAAATTTTATTGGCTTTTAAGTTGTGCAAACACACTTCGTACTCTGCATAATAAAATCTATCTGTGGCCAACACACAACAACAACAACAACAAAACACACAAACTGCCGCTATTGATCAAGTGTTTGACGACTCCTCAAGTGATTGTTGTTGTTGTTGTTGCATGTTTACCTGACCACTGCAAGTAATTCAGCATTTCTTTAGAAACTCGGAATAACGAACCAGTTTCTTGAACTCCTCTCTCATTCTCTGTCTGTCTATGGTTTCACATGATGTGTTTCATTAATTAACAAACCGAAACAATCTAACCATTTTAGGGTGAGGAGAATGAATAGAGTTACTAACGCCGATTCGATATGTCTGATTGTCGAGTTTATATGAGCTCCAAGCCAAAGCAGTCCAACTGTAACCGCACTGATTTTATATTTTGCCACATTCCCAAATAGTCATGTGTAAATCTTTGGATTGGAGCTGCTGCTGAGCACTCAGCACTCAGAGAAAAAATTGTCCTGAATTTTAGATAATCGTAATAGATTATAAATAGCTCTGAAAACGAGAAAGTTTTTCTTGTTTCTAGAAATAATTCCAAAATTTGTTGTTTTTTTATATTTAACAAATATTTTCTATCATCAAAAAATTCATTCTAAATTTTAGAAAAATATGCCATAAATTTAATAATAGAAAAACTCGGGATTTGAGATTTATAAGCTGAGTTATCCCAGGCTTCGAAAGTATGGCGAATTGCTAAAATGCAGGGCGATTTTTTGTCTGAGTGCAGTAGGTGCCAGGTTGCATGTTGTTTTATCCGACTACCGACTACTGAAATCCTGTTGCTTTTAAGGCAGAGTCAGAGTCAAAGCCAGAGGCTGTGGCAGTGGCAGTGGCAGCTGAAGTCCCGGAGTCCCGTGGCCAAAATGCCTGAGGCGAGTCTGAGGCACGTTTTCAGTGCGGCAACAATGTGCCATAAATTTATGACACTAGTAAAAGTGGTGTTGCTGATGTTGCTGATGTTACAAGAGTAAATGGTAGTCGTACTATCTGCGGTTACGAGCTATCCCCCTCCGGTTACTGGCATCCCCACTTCCTCACCCCACCGAATGCAACCCATTTCAAAAACTTGCTTATTGCGGCTGTTACATTATGTTGCCTTTGTTTCTGGTGCGCATTACATGACACCCAGAGTTATATGCAAGCGAAGATGCCATTTAAAAGCCGATAAATAAACTTAATGCCACAGTGCAAAGCCAGGAGACCGAACCCACTCCCCATCCCTTCCCAATCCACTCCCAATCCACTCCAGTGACATACGCAGCCCGCAATGTGTCCTCAACATCAGACATATTTATTTATGTTGTAGATGTGCTCAGCTCCAATGTTAATCGGCATTACTCCCGCTGCGTCGCTGGCACTTCAGGGCCTTAAATATGTCTAGCAGAACAGTTTCTTTATTATATTACAGGGTATATGCACGGAAACTGTCTATCTTGATAAATTGTATCTTGGAGTGGATCAAATTTTCCATTGCTATAAGTTTCAATTGAATTTCAAAAACCAGATCTTTTAGATCAGGGTTTGACTTCTAGTTTAATACTACATTCAAAGTTGGAAACACCATTTTATCTCGGAACTCAAGCTAAAATTCGATTAGTGTTAGTGAGATTCCTTCTATATCAGAGTATCTATAGCGTTTACTAAATAATGACTGTTTTCTTGAACTTTATGGCTGTCTAGCTAAAGGCAACACAGGACTTTCACAGCTGTATACGTGGAAAGTGCATGCTCCTCTCAATTATGGCCAAGTATTTCATCCAAAAACAGTTGAGAGCTGACTGAAATTGCGTTGCGTGCTGTAAAATACCATTTAGGGAGCCAGAGACTCGGATTTAGGTTGCCCTCGCCGCTATATGGGAGAGATAAATACAACGTTTGCGATGGCGCAGAGGAAGCTATAAATAACAATTAATTGTATTATTAAACTAATTCAAACTGCGAATTCTCGGAGCGAAGACGAAAGGCCGTCAGTCATGCAATGATCTACAGACACATAAATTCCGATTCAGCCCTTAGATGCCCCACTTGCCTCTCCACTCCTCAGGCAGAGCAACTAATTTACATTTTTGTTTTGCGAGGCAGACTAAAGTAAAAGTTGGTCGATGGTCGGTTTCTAAAATTGAGCCCTCGGGGGCACCGATCCCAGGACGAGAACCGGGCTTAACTCTGCAGCTCTGCAATCAATTATTGAAATCAGTCAATGATCAGCAAGGAGCTGCCGCATTTTGTTGCTGCTACACGCAATGCCAAAAGAGAGCGGCGCGAAAGTTTCCAGAAACATGCAAATAAAGACAACAATTAAAGCACAAAATGTTGTCCCCTTTGCGTGTCGCGACAAAAAAATCAAAAACCCGCCTTGCGAGAAACTGAAGATAATCTAAAGATATTGGGTGAGTCAAGGGCTGAGTTGACATCAAAAGTATTATCAGATATGTACAGGTCTGATGTATGCATAAGCTCAAGAAATTACCATTATAAGTATATAAGTATAAATAGTAAAAAAGTAGTATTTATAGTAAATAAATAAAGAATTAAGACTTTCGATCATTTTGCAAGGCAGTCCTTGGGACAAGGCCGAGTAAGCCATGAATTCTTGGCATCAGCTTATAGGGTTTATTTTCTTTAATAATTGTAGATCTATATGATCTAGATGTGCTCGCTAAGGCAAACTATTTAGTGTATCGATAGAGGCTAAAATGAACGGTTTTACATAGTTGACATCCGTATAGACGCCAGGATATTTGACACTGGCACAGCCAATGCCAAATGAGACGATGCCACAGAGCTGTTTCTCGGCATTGGGTGGATAGTAGACAAGCGGACCACCCGAATCAAAGGTACACGCATCTTTGCCGCTCTTTAGCCCAGCACAGAACATGGCATCGGTTATTTTGGCTTTAGAGGGAGAGAATTAGAATATACACTATTCGATTTTCAATATTCGATATTAGCAACTACAATTAAGGACTTACATGACTTTTTATAGACCTTTTTACATTTACTTTTCTTAACAACTGGGACGATAACGGTGCGAAGTTGCTGCTGGACCAGTGTTGCTCTTGGATCAGTTAAACCCCAACCCGAAACGGTCAGATCGCGGCCTTCGATGAGATGATGGTTGCACAAAGCTATTGGAACAATATTTTTACCTTTCAGTGGCTCCGACAGCAGCAGTACGGCGACATCCATGTGCATTGTGTCTTCATCGAAGATACTGGGAACTATATACTCCTTCAATACCACTTTGGTACCATTTTCATCGAGTCGCGAGATGCCACCCTCGATGGTCCATTGGTACCGCTTTTGGCGCCCAATAAAACAGTGTGCCGCCGATAAAACAATGCGTTCATTGAGCAAAGCTCCACCGCAAACGAAGTTGCCTAGATAGCGCAGAGCGACAATATAACCACCCAATTTATCGATGGTCGTCGCTTCGCCACCAACAACACGCATATGCGCCGAAGCTGGCAACAGTATCTTCTCCAGACCAGGGAAGTCATCCAGGTTGTTGCCACGACCCAGTGGCAGCAGCAGCAGCAGCAGCATTAGTAGCGAATCCATTGCAAAACAACTGACTAAATAAACAAGGCTGCCTTGAATATAATTGTTGTTTTCAACATTACATACTTAAGTTCGGGTACGTAAGTGTTTCTAAGCGCATTAACTGAAACGTAAACTGATTCGATAGAGAGAAAGAGAGAGAGAGAGAGAGAGAGAGAGAGAGTCAAGTGGAAAGTTATTTACAATTGGCTTTAATTGACTTCAATTGGAGTGGCGAATGCATTTTGATTAGTTGAACAAAACACTGACTATTTCGAGCTGCTAGCTACGAGAAACTTAGCGGACGAACCTCTTTGAGCAGGGTGCGTATGTAGTATATCAATTTAGGATCTCGATTGCGCACGTCCGTTGCCTGGGGATACATTGAATTGATCAGCTGATGCACATCCGAGTAGGTCTAAGGTATAGAAAAAGCTTACATTGTATTTCTGATATAGTTATTTTTACAGCTTACACCAATATTTCGCCAGGTGAGCTGGTAAGCCAATTTAATTGTTTCCAGATTATCGGAGCACGGCTCGGAGACCTCCACAAACGTTGAATTGTTGGGTGTGACCCTTATGGTAACGGCGCCCTCATTCAAATCCTTGGGATTACGCATGCACAGCACAATATTTCGCCTTGTCGACAAACGATTCCAATCACTGCGAAAGAACTTGACCAGCTTACAGTGGACGGCAAATGCATCGTAGACATGCAACTCGGCTGCCAGATGCTTCACCGAGAAGTAACCGTTCTCAATATAAAACAAAGCATCGTTCTCCGCAAATATATTGACGTTCTTCTCGCAGAAGCGCTAAGTAACGTACAGGATTAGACTGCGCTCAGAAAACATAACAAAAGAGTCCAAATGTACGGAGTCAGTTCTTACCCTGCGCAACTCGCGGTAGTCAGAGATGGGTTGCTCAATTTCCACGTACTTTACAGGCTTGGCTACATATTCATCGGTTAATTTGGTCACATAGCCCCGGATGCCGGCATTAGTTATAAACAGAACTATTCGCACGTGGTGGGTATCCAGTGTAAAGATGATCTCGTCGGAGCTATCGCAATTGTAATTTAGTCGGTGGGTTTCAGTAAATACTAGCTAATGAGCGATCTTACTTACTTCTCCTCATTGTATTGCAGTTGCCAATGTCGAAATGGAAAGTGTTCGTATCGTTTGCAGGCAAAGCCAAATATACCCAATCGATCTGTTTGAATCTTGAACGTAAAACTCTGTGGATCATATTCTGTACGTTTTATGTACTTTGTGGTCCAGTGTTTAACCTTGAGTCGCTCCGGTTTCTGGATCCGTTCCGATTCCGGCTCCTTTACAATGGACTTCTTTGTCAACTGTATGATTTCGCCTTGCATCGAGAGAGTGCTCGATTCGCTCTCATGATTCTCGTTATCAGACTCAAAATCGAAGGGGCGAATGTATGGTAAGCGTCCGGTTCTACTGGATGGAAAAAACTTGCTATTCATAGTCGCTATGCGAACTGCAGGCTTGCTGCGACCAGTAGGGCTATCAAACGGTTCCACTATCGAATATGTGCGCACAATAGTCTTGGGAGCAAACTGTTGCTGATTTAGGATTGTTTTTGGGCGCGATTTGTACTTTTCCTTTATCGCATTGAGAGTGTCCAGGACACCGTAAAAGCTGACATTGCTAGAGTGATTGCCGATGTCCAATGTGTTTTCCTTAGTCTTACGTAAATCCGGCTCCGAGGGCACTTCACTCGATGAGGATGACTGCTGGAACTGCACCTTATCGTACAAGTTGTACACTGGATAGATACGTTCGGGTCCAGCCTGCTTCTCATAGGTAAAGTATTCCGGTTCGTCATCCTCTTGATCATCCGGTAACTCGACTTGGTGCCGACGAAATAAAGTGCACCTTTTGTCGCGCAACTTCTTCTTCGCCATCTTCTCCTCGGACTTCTCCATTTTGAACTCCATGGGAAACTTAAACGAGGACAGGATGCGGGGTATGCAATGCCTCTGTAGATCATGGATTTGATGACTGGTTAGATGGCCTGTCACATCGAAGTTGTGCAAAGTCACGTCCTGCGAACGAGTCCGAAGGAAAGTCTTTAAGGTGCTATATTGTAGTGAAACCAGCGATGGAGGACGGTAAATGTTCCTTGGAGTATGAGCCTTTGGCGCTATTATTGACTGTGTGGGTCTGCGCAGCATGAAACACTCATCAATTGATATCTTGCCGTTTTTTTCAATACTCTTGGTTTTCTCATTATTTGCATCAGTCTCTGGTCCGCGACTACTTTTTCGCACTTTCTTCTTTTTCGATCGATGCTCCTCGATATCAACCTCGAGCTGCTCCGGCTCCACTTCCTCGACTTCCTCTTCGATGAAGTGGCAGGCCAGTGGTTCGCCAAATCGGCACAGATACTCCGGCAGCTGAAAGGTGATCCAGAAAAAAGGCAGTTCGTCGTCTTGCAACTTTAAATTTAAATTTTTCGCATCTTCGTAGGCAGAGCGTCGCGTCAATGGTGATCTATGATCGGTCTTTTCACCAACATCTCCCATATCGGCAAGCACTTCCTCTGACCTGTGAAGTATTCGTCCATCTTTGTGTAAGGTAATGTTAAACTTCTGAAAGTGGGTGTGTTTGGGCTTAGGCACAAAGAAAAGCGAGTAAAGGCCGCCAATCATATTGAAATATCGCAAGTTGACCTAAAGAAGACACGCATCTTAATATGATAATAATATATACACATGTATACGTATTTAGCTTATCTATCGTCTCACTTCATGCGGACCTAGTTTCAAATTGAGTGGATTCATGAACTTGTCCAGAAATTCATCAAATTCCTGTTGCTCCTGCTCCAGGAAAGCGTCATACGGATCGGGAAACATGCCGTCGGGCAGGTTTTGTGGCTCCTTTGGTTTTTTCACATTTTTCGATTTGCTGCTTTTGTCTGATTTTCTCTTTTTTTGATCGATCTCACCCCATTTCGGTGGCGCAACCTTTACGCTCATTTGACTATTCAATTGATAAGTGGAATTCAATAGGATCAATCTAGATCGACAATAGATTGACTCACCTCATGAATTTCTTATATTCCATGATTTTCAACTCCAGCTTATTTATCATCTTATCCATAATGTCCACCTGCATTAGCCACTCATTGATCAAACAGTCCTCAATGTCCATCATGCCACCGTTCAATGCATTTGGACACATATCCATCTGTTGTCCAAAGCTCTTCGCACTCTCCGAAACATGATCGAAGAAGCTGTGCACACAACGAAGCGTCAGATTATCGCACAGTACACTCAAAGGTATCTGAACACGAACACCCACACAATCCAAATCGGCCAGCATTACTGGTGGACTGAGATGAACTCTCAACTCAATTCGTCTTTCGCATAAGGCAGAGTCTTTAATGCCAGCTTACCTCAGGTGATTAATGCGAAAGGGCACATCGCTAAGCCACCAGATTTGTAGATTGTAATTGGGGCTCTTGTAGCAATAGTTTTCCATTATCCCATCAGATGAGCTGAAAAGTAAGTGCAGTAAACATTCAGCTGGGCGAACTCAACGCACAACATACGTTTTGAGAGCACAGGGCGCAGCTACGATGCGATAAGTTAGCTTATCAAGATACACATCGATCTCCTCGATGAGTTCCTGGCGAGTCTGCAATTTAAGATGAGAATCATTTATTGAAACTGGCACAGATATAGATTAACTCACTGCTATAATATCCAAGTGCCGTTGCTGTGGCACATCTTTCATCTCGTATTCACTGTTCAGCATTACTTCGATTCGATCCAAGGTAGTCAGGATTTGTTGAATATGCTTGTCGTACAACTGGCCAATTTGCGGACACAAGGTTGTCCTCAACGTTTGGCGCGTCAGATCCTTGCGAAATATATCCTGGGTGAGTAGACTGCACTCGTCCACCGACAGCTGCCAATTGACCCCCGAGTCCACATCCCTGGCCTCCAAGTCACGCATCTCGGAAATCATGTTACGAATCTCGGGTGGATATTTCACCCGGGGCAGCTTGTCGCAACTTAAATAACGATTCCATTGATCCGCTTTGCTCTGCTCCTCTACCAGTTGCTTGTAATCCGTTATTGACTCTATAGAGTGAGCATTTTAGCATCAATTGCTAATAGATCCTCAACAAAGCTGATAACTGATATCTAATGACTCAAACTAACCACTGATGAAGCCCAGGCATATTTTCACATCCTGAATTCGCTGCAACTGGTGATGTTCCCGCCTTTGCCACTCTTCTTCAGATATTAAATCCACTTTTTCCAATTCCTGCTCAAATTTCTTTTTATTAGGCAACTTTAACTTACCCATTTCAGAATTTAGCTTATTATTATTTTTTTTTATATTTCTAGTTTTATATTTTTTTTATTTGTTATTAATTTTTTAAATTTTTTTTATATTTTTAGTTTTTTTTGAGACTTTAATGTAACGCGTGTATTTGATTTCAATAAAGAACTGACAGATATTTCATGCAAACCATTTTATTTGATTGAATCTACGAAAAACTCAATAGACGAATTTCATTGAGTATACGTTTGACCTGAAATAGCAAAAGTGAATCCTTGTTTCTCACATCGTTGGCATGAGGATTCATCGAGAGAATGGCCTGATGCAAATCCGTATAGTGCTAAATGTGATTGAAATGTGAAAGTTGAAAATAATTGATGCCATATCTAAGTATTTGTCCCTGACTTACGGTCATGTTGCGCCACGTCAATTTAAAGTCCAGCTTGATGACATCGAGATCATCCGAACAGAGTTCGGATACCTCGACAAAGGTCACATCGTCCGGTGTAAGGCGCAATGTGGCTTCCGTATAATCGGTATTATCCTTGGCATTCTTCATGCACATAAGGATATTGCGACGCGAGGATAAGCGATTCCAGCTGGAGCGATAGAACTTCATCAGTTTGCAGTGCAAGGACATCGCATCATATGTATGATTCTCAAGGGCCACATGCTTCACGGAGAAATATCCGTTCTCAATATAAAAGCCGGCATCATTTTCCGCAAAGATATTCACATTCTTTTCATAGAAACGCTGTTGTTTTCAAATTAATTCGCTTAATATTATTGTCTAAAGTATGATGGCAATATGAATGATGTTAAATACCCTGCGCAGTTCACGATAATCCGATATGGGTGTGGTAATTTCGAGATATTTAACCGGATTGGCCACATAAACATTGCTTATATCAGTCACATAGCCCCTGATGCCCTGGCCCGTAATGTAGAGCACAACGCGTGCCCGGAACGTATCCACAGTTAAAATAATTTCATCATTACTAGAGAAAAAGGAAAACAAGTAAGAAGGCTGTAGTCGAGTGAGCTCGACTACGATATACCCTCAACCCAGCTGATAAGTATATTCTAGCTTTTGCACGCCCAAATGTAAGCACGTACTAATCGCAAGAAAATCAATATGAAAATACGTTGTCGATTACAATTTTGGTGTTTCTTATTCTCTAGCTCGGTATAGTCTCTGAGATACACGCTCATGCAAACGGAAGGACTCGACTCGGCTGCTTATCCTGATCAGGAATATACATAATGGGGTCAGAGATGCTTCTTTCTGCCAATCACACAGATTGACACAAAACCATTTTATGGTAATTGAATTAATTTCTGATGGATAATAACTGAAATACACAAATAAAGTTCTCTATTCCCTCTCAATTTCCTGTACTTACTTCTCCTCGTTGGGCTGCATGCTCCAGTCGCGAAAGGGAAAGTGATCGTAGCGCTTGTAGGCAAATCCAAAGATGCCCAAGCGATCCGTTTCGATGGTCATCGTGCGGGCCTGCCTATCGAATTTAGTGTTGTGGATGTGCTTTGTTGTCCAGTGTGTGACCTTCACCTTTACCTTACCCGCCACTTCGGCGTCATCTCTCGGATTCTCGAATGGATAGACACGTTCTAAGCTCACGTCATCTGCAGTATCTCCAGTCAGGCTCAATCGAGCCCGGCTCGTGGAACGCAGTTCGCTCCAAGTTTGGCTCGGTGTGGCAAAAATACTATGATTCTCTCGCATGGTGGACGGTCGCTGTGTGATCTTCTTTGCGAACATTGAGCTGGCGCGAGCTTCTGCAGACGACATGATAGTCTTTTTCGATGGCACCTTCTTGAAGTCGAAATCGGGCTGTTTCATGATAGCCGTGTACCGTGTGGTGTACAGCAATCGGTGTGTATCTAAGGTATTCAAGAGCCCGTATATGGACTTCTTGTCGATCATTTCGCTATCTAAGTCCCCATCATCGTAATCCACATGCTCAAGATTCGCATAGATGGGAAAGAGTCGTTCCGGCGCCTCCTGTGCATAATAATCAAAATCCAAGTCACCGATTACAGTATTCTCCTCAGCTTCGATGCTGCGTCGTCTAATTAGCATATTTTTCATCTTTGGCCTTTGATCTAACTGCTGTTGCAGCTCCTCCCTGACCTCCATAGGAAACTTGAACGAGGATATTATCCGCGGTACACAAAACCGTTCCAATTGACGCGCCTGCAAATGATTCAATTTCTGCTCCAATTGAAAATTGCTCAAGCCAATCAGATGCTGCTGCGGCCCCAGCTTATGGCTGGCCCGCAGCCGCGAAATCAGCGTAGGACGAAAGACGTTGACTGATTGATTTTCGCGACGAGAGATGCGAGGCTGGAATGGATTTGGTTGCGGGTGTATTGCACTTCCAATCCTTGACGCACCAAATCGCGATCTTCTCTTCTTGCTAAACGTTTCTCTTCTCTCAGGGACAAGCGATATTTCAGACTCAACCTCCTGCATGCTGGTTATATACTGACAGGCAATCGGATCACCCCACATGCACAGCTCACGCGGCATGTGTATGGTCACAAAGAAATAGGGCAGCTCCGTCTCGTCAATGTTGAGGGTCTTACGTTTCTGCTCATCCATTTGCAGACGGGATCGTCGTGCTGACACATCATCCGCCCAAGTGGGCGCTCTCAAATCGGCCACTATATCATCCATAATGTGCAGAATGCGACCATCCTCGTGCAGCATTATGTTGAACTTCTCGTAATGAGTGCCAGGCGTTTGACGAACAAACATTATCGAATATAGGCCGCCCAGCATGATGTGCTGTCTCATATTGACCTGAATGATTAAAGGTTTAGCAAATACACTCCGGGAAAAAATCGCATTGAGTTTTTGAAAATCGCCTTTAAATGAAAATCATACTTAAAACTACAAAGGAAATTAGAAATATACTTTCCTTGGCATCGAAAGTATGGCGAATTTCCAAAATGCAGTTCGATTTTTTTTTGAGTGTAGTAATCCATATTGCATTTGAAAACGTCTCACCTCATCCGAAGTGAGTTTTAGATGTCGTGGATTGTATATTTCATCGAGTGTATCTAGATACTGCTGCTGCTCGCGTTCCAAAAAAGTGGCGTACGCATCGGGAAACATGCCGGGAGGGACGAGGGGTGGTTCTTTGGGTGCCTTGGGTATTACTGTTTTCGTAGACTTGCCCTCATTCGCCTTCTTCTCCTTGTTCATCTTTTCGGTCTTCTCGGCAATGGTGCGCATAATATCCTCATAGTTCTCGCGCTTCGCCATCATGCTCGCCAGCAGCTCCTGTTGGATATCCAGCTGCATCAGCCACTCATTGATCAGACAATCCTCGATATCCACAATGCCACCATTAGCTTGAACTGGACTATCGGGTATTATCGGATCGAAGCTCTTCGCATACTGAGAGTGGTTGTCAAACTTTGTGTGGATGCACCTCAACGTTAGGCAATCATGGAGCACGCTCAACGGCATCTGAACTTCGACGCCCGCAGTCTTAAGTTCAGCAACCATTAACGGTGTACTGCCGTTCAGTTAAAGCCTTGAGATAAGCCAGAAAATTGATTAATACTTACGGCAGTTCCTTAAACCGTATCGGCACATCGCGAAGTCCCCAGATATCAATATCATAACGAGCACCTGCATGGGACCAAGTTGCCACCATCGCATCCTTCGAGCTGTGGACAAGGTTGCTCGATAAATCAGTAAAGCGTATAGCTATATTCGGTCTCCCGAACTTTTAATGCCATTGCAGAAAGACTTTTAAGACTCGATCAATTTTTTAGAGTGTAGATGGAGGCATCGATTCGAGCAACTTTCTTTGACGATATCTTGGCAAGGCAAAGCAAGGTAAAAATGAGTAGAAGTAAAGTCCTACTTCATATAGACGCCATCCATGCGTATGATACGATACGTCAACCTATCGAAGCTGGTATCGATCTCATGCTCCAGCTCCTTGCGCACCTATCGAATAGTTATCGATAAGTTATCGTTTGCTTTCACTCTATATATACTATAGATAGCACCTCCATAATTTCTAGTTGACGCCCAAAACGCACATACTCCATTTCGGCAGCAGTATCGAGCATACAATCGATCTTGACCAACGTATCCAAATACATGATGATGTCCTGCTCAAAGCGATCCCCAACATGATCATCCATCAGCTCTTTGACCTTGGTCCTTGTACGTTCATTCCTAAAGATGTCCTGGGTGAGGACAGTGCGCTCATCCACAGACAGCGTCCAGTCGACGCTGTGATCCACATCGAGTTGTTGAAAGTATCGCTTCTTCTCGATAAAGGTACGCATCTCCGGTGGCAAATAGGGACGCGGCAATCCATCGCAGCGCAAATGATGATCCCAGTGTTCGCGAAGACGACGCTCCTCCTCCAGTCTCTCGAATTCCAGGGTAGACTCTAATCAGGGATCATCTTTGGTATGCTTATCATATAACAACATATTATCCTTATCCGGTGCTTACCCTTGATGAAGGCACTGCTTACACCAATATCGAGCAATCGCTGCGTATATTTCTTCTCTCGCTCCACCATGTCGCCCTCGCTCAGCAAATTGCTGGCAATGAGTCCGGTGCCATATACTGGCTCGGCCTTTGACTTGACCATTGTGTTGAGTTCTCTGTTTAGTTGTGTGTGTTATTTTATATTAGTTCAATTTTGTATGTGTGTGCTGTTTAATAATCATGACACTTAAGTCATGAGTAGGTTTTATGCCCTATTTGGCAGCTGCTTACGCCCTATATCAGCCTTCAAGTCAACTCCCCGACGAGGCAACTGGTTCGATTTCCAATCAAATCGCAGAAAACTAAATCCTAAACTCAAACCCAGACACGTGTCTTTGTCGACTTCTTCTCTGGCTGCTTTTTGGCCCATAACTCAGTCGGTATGTGGGTGCGGTTGGCCAGGCGATTGCCCTCCTCCGCTGCCCCTCAAATCGACTGCAATCGCTTAGATTTATTTCTCGGGCTCCGTGCCAGCAATTTCCAACTTATTTATGCTTCTTGTGCAATTTTCTATTACAAATCCGACTGGTGAAAGTGTAGCTGAACGGAGCCAACCGGAAATAGTGGGTATTATCGAAGCGCCAAATGATTTAATACCCTTGATGAAAATCCAATTAAATATCAATTATGTGAACTAACTAAGTAAGTGGATAAATACAATAATATTCTGTTATAAATTTGTTTGATTGCAATTAAATTTATAAGCAGATAGATGAATAGATTTAATTAAGATATACTTTTTGTTTAACGAAAATGTCTTCATTAGCGTCAGACACATTTCATGGCATAATTATAATACCCAACGCTAGAGTATAGAATGAAGGAAAAATGTTAAGACAATGGCATCGTTTCCAATAAATTGATTAAATTTGATGTCGCATTGTTAATCGGACTATTTACATACGACTGCTCTTGTTGGAGTTCATGTCAATGCAAGCAGCGTCTGATCGATTGCCTTGATGAATGAATTTCAAACTCAACTCAGACTACGACGACGACGACGTTGAAACAAAATAGACAACTCCTACATGGACAGAGTTGGGGCAGAGTCTGCATTCCTATCGTATATCCAGATATCTATCTATAGGCCTTGGTCTGCCATGCTGCAGGCTGGCAATTCTCTTTCGAAATTTATTTGTTTCTAGTTGTCTTTTAAATAAATTTCTTGTCAAACGTTCCACATCGACAACTGTCATTGTTTTTGTTGTTCTTCTTGTTATTGTTGTTGCTGGTCGTTACATTCGTCAGTTGTTTAGGCTCTGGACTATGTCTGTAATAAGTCACATGGCTTGACACAGACAAAACATTTTAAATAATTTAATGAACTTGACAGACTGGGACATTTTGGCTATATTTGTTGCCAATGTTTTTTGTCATTTTGCCAGCCAACTGACCCAAATGTTCAGCCAAATAGTTTTGACACCTTTTGCACCGCAATCAATTTCCACAATTGCTCCAAATTGTTGTGTTTGATCCTCATAACAAGCAGCCGTTGAGTCGAGTCCAGTTGAGACTTAATGACGAGCAAATCATTTCTCTCTCATTCGTCCCATGCAATCATTCAATTATAATTTACAGCACTCAGCAAAAAATATCAATATATATATGCATTTGCTACACAGAGAAAAAACATTCTTGATTAAGATTAGAGTTGATTTGTTAATAAATAGATTTCAGAAACTATTACTGAAAAAAGGATAAGATGTTTTAGAATTGTTGAATAAGTGTAAGCGTTTCTATTATTTCTTGTTAACTACAAGTAGTATAATTATATATATATATATTGTTTTTGGCCGAGTGTATGTGAAGCACAAGTAGCTGATAGATCTCGGTTCCTTGTTGGCTGCTGATTGCTGGCTGCCTGATCCCTGGACTGAAGCTGTAGCAATTGTATTTGGCCAGCAATTGGATGACTAGATGACTGCAATGACTTTACAAAGAGCCACCTCACGTAGTAGTCTGTTTGCTTGCAGCATGTGGCAAGCAGCGTGTAGTAACGAGCGATTTTAGCTGCAGCATCAGCTTCATCGATTTGGAGCTGCAATTTAGTTCGCAACGTTGCAAACAACAAGCGAAACAAGCCAAAAATTGCAGGCGAAAATAATTGACATCTGTATATAAGTTGAAGCCATTTGATTTGCTGGTGGTTAAGTGGTTGCCTCTTTAGACGGTTAGCTGCTTAGCTGGTTAGTTGGATATCCCTATTGAGCCAGGCTAACAAGTGCATAGCAGCACAGTTGTCGAGTTTAGCTTTGTAGTCTGCCATTCGATTTTTCACCTGCATTCGATTACGTTGCAAAGTGAGTGAGAAATTATGCCACAATGGACCGTTGCAGTTGCAGTTGCACTCTGGGAAAACTACCAGCTTGAATTGATTTTATTAATCCCCCCCAAACTTTCAGCACATAACTCAGTCTCTGCCTTATCGGGGCGCAGCGATTAGAAAGCGCCACTGCCTCTCAACAATATGTTGCCCATGTTCGCCGATGACAGCAACTTGTTTACCGTTTTTTATTTTGTTGTTGTTGCTGTTGTTGTTGTCGTTGTTGTTGTACCCTGCCTTCCAAATGTGGCACCGCATGTTTAAACAATGCTGAACACAAAACTTTTGGCATTTACATGAGAATTGAAAGCGCAAAGAATTTGTATGCAAACAACTAAAAACTAAAAACACAATATGAGCATAGAATCTGTGGCTAGTTATTCAGTAGTAAGTTAACGACCGGCAGCAGCTGCAACATATTGAGTCTAATTAATTTTGCAGCAAAACTGCAACTGTTCAACTTTCTATGCCCCCTGCAGAGGCCAGAGGTAAATGTGAGCTTAATCATCGTATTCGCTTCGCTTTGTTAACTTAAGCTTGTACCCCTCAAGTGACCAAGTAGAGGATATACTCTCCAATTTGAGAACTGTTAGCTTGCTGCATACATTTCGTCAATCAGCCAGTAGGCCAGTTGATCCTTCTAAGCAGTTATGAAAATGGATTAAAAAAAGGAGACAAATTTATGCCAATTCTTTTGTTGAGCTGAAAGTGCTTAAGTCGTAAGCCACAATTACTCTGCAGAAAGTTTGAAATTACTCAGCATTAATATATATGCCTGTTCAATTAGTGTATAAAACACTTCTGCTTGGCGATGTAACTTTATTTTTGGTTTGCCCCCTTAACGGTAGATGCATGTTTATGTTTAAACAATGCACCAGCATCATCTGAGAAATAGCAACAAGCCACAAACAACAATCAACAAAAGCAACAACAACAATCGCAGTAACAAATTTGTTTAGTCTGAAAATCTATGCAAAGCAATTTGAATAGCTGAAACGAGCGAGCATTCAGCTAATGCCTTGGATATGTAAATTAGAGGAAAATTCTTTGGCCAGGTTGCTTAGTTGTCAGTTGATTGGCTTGGTCCAAGCCCATGCTTTTGCTTAATTGTTGTCGCTTCTCTTCTCTTCTTAATTTTTCCTATTTTTTTTTCGTTTTTTTAATCGAAATTTACATACATTAAATGTGGACATTGTTTGGGAAGCTGCAGCAGCAGCTACCGTCGAATGAAAAGTGAGCGTGGAGGCCTTAAAACGAAATAAGTAAGAGTGCTCCAATCGAGCTGGCAAGTTTGAAAGATACCCTATTTGATTTCCTTTACACCTTCGAGTTGTGTTCCGAAATCAGAAAATTGGCAATCGATTTTTATCGATACTAATCTCGTTGAGTTAACGAGTAATAAAAAATAAACTTGATTTGCGAAAAGTAATACAGAAATCTACATTCTAAATTCCAACTCTTTAGCGCTAATAGTTTCTGAGATCAGGTTAGACAAGGTCATCAAGAATCTATATAAACTTTATGAGCTCAAAGTTATTAGGTACATTTGCACAGCTTCGTAATACCCGCCTGAACAACTTGAAATGTCTGCTGGGTATTTAAACAAATCAAAAAGCCAATTTTAATTCCAATTCCAATTTATGTATAAAATGACCAACTTTTTAGTTAACTATGCCAGCTAATTAAAGATTGGGGCGTGCAGGGGAGGCACGCCATCAAGTCTGAGTTTGCTATGCCACACCTAGAGTGGAGAGACAGAGTTGCCACCGATTACCAACACGCTGCTGGTGGCAAAAGGCATCAGCGCGAACTCTTATCAACTGACAGCAAACAGTCGGACATTCGGAACAATTTGCATGGGCCATGAGGCATGTGGCATGGGGCATGGGGCATGAGGCAGTTGCTCCAATGGCCACTGCCACTTATCGCTGGCAGCGTCGAGCTCATTACGAATGCGAAATGGAGAACTGAGACTGAGACTGAGACTGCAGCCAGTTGGCTGGCATTGCTTTCGTGCTTGCAACAAGTGGCAAGCAGCAAGCGCTCTCTCGCTGCTGCGGCAAATTGTGCTGCCACTTTTAATTGGCAACTTTTGGCACGCTCGCCAGCATTTCGCTTATCGATTTATGATGACGACAGACAGACAGATGGACGGGCGAACAGGCGGACAGGCGGAAAGGCGGACAGACAAGGATAGACTACTTTTCTAGTTTTCTAGTTATTTGTTGGAGTTGGTCGCGGCACTGACAAATACTCTGATTATTGCAACTGCAGCTGCTCATTCCACTCAATATTAAAATGCAAATTTAAGTGGCAGGCGGAAAATTGAACTGAACTGAAAACTACAAAAACAAAAAAAAAACTGGATCTGAAAGTGGTGGAACTGTTCGAGTAGATTTTATGACTTGGCCCAGCCGGTTGTGCAAATAAATTGCTATTATTTCAATGAGATTGCACAGCTCACTCTGTGCTTACCTCTAATTATGCCGCCGACAGCAACCCAGCCTGCTATTAACTGGCAGATACCCTGTTTTTAAGTAGTCAATGTTTTTGGTTTGTATTTAGTATTGCAGAGCGATTAACTCGTGCTAAAATATCTTATCAACTAAATAGCTTCTGCTTTTAACTAGATGTCGAAACGACTAAAAATATGGTGTTCAATACCAATTTCATAACTTCCAGTCTGTTATTAAAGTGTTTTAATAATAAACAGACTGCATAAAAACATTGACTGCAATTAAGGCTAGATCAAACAAGATAAACAGAGCAGAAAAACCAAATCAATATTTAATTTCGTGTCGCGTTT